TGCTCACATTTGATTGAAAACACACACACACATATGGGCTGTGGCTTAAAAGAGTTTATTTCCAGAAAAACACTGCAGATAAGAGACAACACAAAGGACAAGATAGTACACTATTTTTTAGAACTGGCCTTCCCCTGCACAAAGGAGGTGCGAGTGAATTTCTGTCGGCAAGAATGCCATTCAGCATCTCATCTGTTCCACAAAGATAACGCACATGAATTTGCCCCTTATCATCATCTCTCAAATGGAGAGTCATTTTCCATATAGCCAGACAGGGTACAATAACAGAGTCTATCACTGCTGGTGGTATTCTGCAAACATCCCAGCGCCTCCTGTTGGGGTTTACAGTGGTGCCTCGCAAGATGAAATTAATCCGTTCCACGAGTCTCTTCGTCTTGCGGTTTTTTCGTCTTGCGAAGCACGGCTATTAGCGGCTTAGCGGCTATTAACGGCTTAGCGGCTTTAAGAAAAAGGAAAGAAACTCGCAAGAACTCGCAAGACGTTTCGTCTTGCGAAGCAAGCCCATAGGGAAATTCGTCTTGCGGAACAACTCAAAAAACGGAAAACCCTTTTGTTTTGCGAGGCATTCGTCTTGAGGGGCACCACTGTACTTGTGCTTCTGCCTGCATGTTGGGGGAGGGCCAGGTTAGGGCTGAGAAAGGGTCAGGAGGCAGCAATATCTTGGAGCCACCTCTGATGCTGCAGCATTTGTCCTTTCCCACCGAATCTTTATAATAATAATAATAAATTTTACTTACATCCCGCCCTCCCCAGCCGAAGCCGGGCTCAGGGCGGCTAACAACAATAAAATAAATAAATAATAAATGAATAAATAAATAAATAAATAAAATGGTATCTGAAGAAGTGTGCATGCACACGAAAGCTCATACCAAGAACTAACTTAGTTGGTCTTTAAGGTGCTACTGGAAGGAATTTTTTTTGTTTTAACAATAAAATAGTACAACATCAGTATTCAGCTACGATCTCAGAGCCCTGTTGGTGCCCAGTACCGTATTTTTTGCCCTATAAGACTCACTTTTTACCTCCTAAAAAGGGGAAATGTGTGTGCGTCTTATGGAGCGAATGCAGGCTGCGCAGCTATCCCAGAAGCCAGAACAGCAAGAGGGAATATTTTTTTCTTGTTTTCCTCCCCCAAAAACTAGGTGCGTCTTGTGGTCTGGTGCGTCTTATAGAGCGATATAGAGCGAAAAATGCGGTACTTCTCTCGTGCTTTTGTAAAGTGCAGTATGATGGGGACAGCAGTGTTGGGTCTGGTAGGCATACAGTGCACAGATATTGAGCTGAGATGGGTAGTACAGGCAATGGGAATAGGAGCAATGTGAGGAGGGCAAAGAGCGGAACAGGGCAGTGGTGACGCCCCCTCCCATCCATTGCAAGAACCCTTCTTGGGTTCTCCATCATCACGAGGCACCGTAAAAGCATTTCAGAGCTTTTCAGTTTGATCACGAGGACTAGATAATAAAACTGTAAGTCTGTCATCTCACTGCAGTTCCCATGGCCACCAACAGGTGGCCATGGCAGTTCCAATGTGATGACAGACTAGCAGCAAAACAGGCAGCAAGGCTGGCAGGCACCCGAAAAGAGCTGCATAAAGGCATGTGGGAGGCACACCAGAGACTAGTTTGGCAAACCGCTTTCTGAAGGAGCACAGTCTGCGCTTGGGCAGACGGCTCTCGGAAGGGCCTTCTACCCTCCTTTAAAAGATGCTGGGGGTTCGGACAAATTGTGAGGGGTGGTGGCTTCAGGCAAGCTGTGAGGGGGAAGAAGAGGTGGTTAAGGTATAAAGGGAGGGGCTTTGGCCGGGGGGGGGGCTTGGCAAAGCGGTGGCAGCCCCTTGTTTAAAAGGGATATCTTGTAGTAGTAGGGCTGCCTTCAGATATCTTTGGAGGTTACTCATCTCCTTGACATCTGGTGGGAGGGCGCCACCACCGAGAAGGCCCTCTACCTGGTTCCCCGTAACCTCACTTCTTGCAAGGAGGGAACCGCCAGAAGGCCCTCAGCGCTGGACCTCAGTGTCCAGGCTGAAGGATGGGGGTGGAGACGCTCCTTCAGGTATACTGGACCGAGGCCATTTAGGGCTTTATAGGTTAGCACCAACAGGAGCATTAGCTGTCAGAGTGTACTTTGGAATTTTTGCATTGAGGTGGGAGAGGGGAACGAGTCTTTGTATGCAACTTTTTGTAAGCCAATAACTCAAACCACTGAATACAGTACAAAGTTTTATCACTGCTTTCTACTAGCAGTGAGGAAGAAAAGGAAATTTTGTATGAAAGATGGAAGATGTTTTGTTACATGACTTTTTGTTGTTGGTTTTTTTTTAAAGCAAAACTTAAAAAACTAAAACTAAATTTGCATTACATGTATAAAAATCAAGAGTTGGTTTTTAAAGAAAAATCTGGCCTGTATATCCAAACTTCAGGGTATGTACTCAAATAAAACATTGTCAGCGCTAAGGGGGGGGGGGAAGGTTAGCACCCACCAACCCTTTGAATTGTGCTCGGAAATGTATTACAGTTTCCTAGTAGTAGTGTGGTGGCAGACCTACGCCTGTGTCTGCTTAGTCAGGGATTTTAGATCTGCAGAAATTTGGACTGAGTGCAGGAAGAGAGTCTAAACAAGGCTGTCGTTCTGTTGACAAGATTCCGGATGCAGCGCTGCAGAGATGAAGGCTTACAAAGCCACGTGCTGCCAGTACGGCCTGTTTAGCAACTCAGTGGCACGATTTCCTAGATACCAACCAGTATTTAACCAGATGACATTCCACTGCCTTGGCACTGACTAATCCATATATATTTTTCCAGCCCAGGGCTTGTTTTCCACCCTGGGCTCTGCCTCCAGGTCACGTGTTTGTGTCTGACGTTTTCCAGGCTTCCCTCCAGGTTCTCTCCAGTGGGGAGGCAAACGCTCATTTGTGGAAAAACAACAATCCTACACTCAAGTGAATTGGGGGGCGGGGAGGTGCGTGGAAGAGGGAGAGGCGCACATGCTGTAAGGAGCAGATTGGGAAAAAGTCCCCCATCAGCTGTGCTTGTGCTCATTCTGCAGTCTCCTCGGCCCAAGGGGCTACCAAGGGCAGTCGCTCCTGCTGTGTGTCAGCCGGTACTCCTCTGAAATCCAATATGCTGCCTGGATTTTGAAAGTCAGCAGCATAAGCAGTTCTGCTGCTCCTACTTTCCGCTTCCCTATAATGCGAGGGGTCCAAGGACCAGAAAAAGGGTGAAACATCGTATTGTAGGACCAACCCATCCTTTGCCAAAAGACAATGGCAAGCTGTTCGATGCCACAGCATCCTTCTTCCCAAGGTGCAGTTGTTGAGAACGTGTGTGGCTGTCACAGGAGATTGGGGAGGGGGAGGATGGGACATTAGACTGCAGCTCAGGGGCAGAGTATATACACTGTGTGGGCAGGAGGTCCCAGGTTGTTGCCCTCCCTCTGTCCTGAGAGAGACAAGGAAGCGTGCCTCTGGGGGCAAAGTCAGTCTGCTGGAGAATCACAGCGCCTGCTGCAGCTGCAGAGACCAGCAACTCGTAACTGCTGCCTCCCGCGTTGCTTTTGCTGTGTTGGCAGCACCTAAGTGACATCAATGGGTCTCAAGCCTGGATGGTGCATATGGAGGTCCTGGGCTGCCCAGACAACAAGACCCCCATCTTAGCCTGGCTGATGTGGTCCAAAGGAAAGCAGAGAAATTGTGTTTGGCACCAGCTTGGCTGCAGGAGTTGCTGCAAGGAGATGTACAAGGCACCATCTAACAGGCTGTGTATCAGGTTTACTCCTTAGCCTTTTAACTCACCGAGGGTTTGACACCCATCAGCTCCCCTCACCTGGTTTAGCCGCTCAGTTGAAGCTGTTTCCCGGGGTGTGGCCACTGCCGCACGCAGACAGTTTCTAGGAGCCGCAGGCGAGAGCTGAGTGCAGGGGACCGAAGGTGGACAAAGTGTCCCAGAAAGAGCACGATGTGTCTCCCAGCAGAGATACCACCCCCTCCCCTTAACACCCCATAAACCGCCATACATTACTAGGGAGACAAAACTCCTATCTGAAACCCTGGAGATTTGCTACCAGTTGTTGTAGACCAAGGGTGGCAATGGGATGATCTCCCATCATCCTTGACCCCACTGGCCATCCTGTCTGGGTGCAGTAACAACTGGAAGGCATCAGGGCAAGGCAGGCTGGTGGGTGTCAACTCTGTATGCCGCGCCCAAAGTCATCTGTGAGCAGGGGTGCCCTCTGGGTATTACTCGACTGCAGCTCCCATCATCCTTGACCACCGGGGATTTGCAGTCTAACAATGGTGTGGTGTAGTGGTTAGAGTGTCAAGGCTAGGATTTGCAACACCAGGGTTCAAATCCCCACATGGCCATGAAGCTCCTTGGGTGACCTTGGGCCAGTGACTGCCTCTCAGCCCAAGCTGCCTCACGGGTTTGTTGTGGTGGTTAAACGAGGAAGGGGAGAACCACCTTGTGTTCAGTCTTCACTGGAGAGCCAGTGTGGTGTAGTGGTTAAGAGCGGTGGAGTCATAATCTGGTGAACCGGGTTCGCTTCCCCGCTCCTCCACATGCAGCTGCTGGGTGACCTTGGGCCAGTCACACTTCTCTGAAGTCTCTCAGCCTCACTCACCTCACAGAGTGTTTGTTGTGGGGGAGGAAGGGAAAGGAGATTGTTAGCTGCTTTGAGACTCCTTCGGGTAGTGATAAAGCGGGATATCAAATGCAAACTCTTCTTCTTTTTCTTCTTCTTCTTCAGCTCCTTGGAGTAAAATGTAAGGCATAAATGTGATAAATAATAATAAATAGACATTGCTGCATGAGGTGAGCCAGTTGCTTGACCCCTATAAGACACCTTCCTGTATTTTTACGCTTAAAACATGCAGTTCCTTTAATAGCAGCCGCAATGCCGCTGTTGTGCATATCGCACAATGGTTTGTGTATCTTTGATGCGTTCTAACAACACCTCTCTGTTTTCATCCCCCCCACCCCCAGCGTTTTTTAGGTGCCAAAGACCCAGTTGACCGCCGTGTGGAGCGAGATAAGTTCAGGCAGGAGCCCCACCGGAGGACCGGGATGGATTGGCTGTGACAACCTGCCGCAGGTGGAGGTGGAGGGGAGAGTTATGATGAAGAGTTCCTGCCGAGCTGGCCTCCACCGGGAACTGCTGAATTCCACATCCTCCGCGTTACACCCGGTCAAACGGTACGGTTAGATGCAGAGACCCCATTTCTCCTGGGCAAACGCATTCTACCTCAGCTGCCTTCCGATAGGCTCTTGGTGGTTGAAAACCCCATTTTTAAGCAAGGATCCCAAGGAAACTGGGAGGAACACTGGATTCCTGGCAATTTATAGACTCATTTTGGGTCCTAGGTGACTCTGATGTCTCCTACAATGAAGGGGGTTTGTGTCAGAATTGCAAAGGGAAAGGTTATGGTCTTTTATAGACTGGGTAGCTGACTAGAAAACAAGAAGCAGAGGATAGGAATAAGTCAGCTATTTTCCCGGTATGTACAGTCGTACATTGGAAGTTGAATGGAATCTGTTCTGGAAGTCCGTTTGACTTCCAAAACGTTCGAAAACCAAATCACTGCTTCTGATTGACTGCAGGAAGTTCCTGCAGCCAATCAGAAGCCATGGAAGCTCCGTCAGACGTTTGGGTTCCAAAATAACATTTGCAGACCGGAACAATCACTTCCGGGTTTGCAGCGTTCAGGAACCAAAACTTTCGAGTTCCAGGGTTTTTCAGGATCCAAGGTACCACTGTTCTTCATTATAAATACTTGTGTCCCTTGCTGCCAAAGTAGGACTCTCGAAACAGCTTATGACAACAATGCTTGGTTTTAAAAACCCAGCACCCTAGGAAGGAAAAGCCAGAAAGAGCAGTGGTCAGTGCAATATAACAAATGTGCCTTTGTCGAGATGCCCTCCTAAGATGTGTCTGGGCCTTCATTTCTAACTCCCTCGTGCTAAGACAGAAGATGCCGGACTCCTCCAAAAATTCATGGGTGCTTGAGAAATCATGCTAAGGTCATGGCTTAATTCTGGGTCAGCATTCTCTGCTCTGAAGTCCCGACAGGATGACGGGTCTTCCGCTCAGCCTTAGAAATGAAATCCAAACAAATAATCAATTTGAAAAATGAACTCAGTCTTGAGAGGCCGAAAATGAGTTTGTTCATTGTTACTGAAGTTCCTTCTTCCTGTAGTTTTAGGGTCCAATTTATATCAGAGCCTTCCCCAAGCTAATACCTCCCTCCCCCCAATATTTTGGAATAGAACTTCAATCCGCCCCAAGCAGCATGGACTGTAGCCAGGGGTGTCATCCTCTCTCTGTTTCTCTCTCACACACGTGTTTATGTGTGTTTGTGTGTGTGCACACATGTGCATGTATGAACACACAACTCCCTACCTACTGTATAAAAAAGCTATCCCATCTCCTCTTGATCTCTCAGCTCTCGGCTCCTTGCGTACAAAAGCACACTTCAAAAATCATCAATGGTTTTTAATCTCTGCATTTCTCTCTCTCTCTTTCCTAGAATATCTGGCATGCACTTAAAGCCCTATCTCAAGTTACAGAAGAAAGAACGGCCTCTGGAAATAAGCCTGGACCCTCCCCGAAGCCCACCAATGAGCCAGCCCAGGTTGGCAAAAGAGGAGAAGCCCCGCAGCCCCGAGCCAAGCCTCTTTCCAGCCCCCCCTCTCCGGAAGCCATTGGGGACCCTCTCCCCCAACACCATCGGCAGCAGCAGGAGCCACGCCGAAGGGCCCGGCGGGAAGGAGAGGAGAGCCGCCCTCCCGGCCACCATCCACCAGGGGGACGACGGAGAGGGGCCACTGGACATCTGGGCCATCGTGAAACCGGGGAACACAAAGGAGAAGGTCGCCTTCTTTGCGGCCCAGCAATGCGGCGACCGCAGCCGGGTGCTCTCCGTGAAGAACAAGAGCACCTGGGACATCGACGGGAGGTCCACTAAGCGCAGGAAAAAGTCGCTGGATATCAAGAAGGCAAAAGTCCACCTGGAAAGGATGAGGGAGGCCAGTGGGAGGTGCTACCAGCCTGAGCCATTTGCCTGCGGCATCGAGCACTGCTCTGTCCATAATGTGAATGACGGCCTGGAGGGGGGCTTCCCGGGGCGGCCCCTGTCTGTCGTCGAGATGGTTGCTTTCTTGGAGCAAAGAGCCAGCGTCTTGCTGGCCGACTGCTCCAAAAACTGCCCCAGTGCCTCTGCTGTGACCAAGTTCCCTGGCCAGCCCAAAGCCGCTCCCCTAGCCTCTCCTGGACCTTTCCTCACCTCGGGAGTCTGCGAAGCTCCCTCTGAAAAGGCAGCCTGTGGGGCGAGCAGCAGCAGCAGCGATGGGGAGCAGCAGGCAGAGCCCCTTCGAGTGCTGGACATGGTGGCCAAGCTGGAGTCGGAGTGTCTCCGGCGCCAGAATGAACGTGAAGCAGGGTCGCTCTCGAGGAACAACAGCTTCCGGCGGAACGTGGGGCGGATGCTGCTGGCGAGCGGGGCGCCCCCGGAGAACGACGCTGGCAAGGCGCCCCCAGAAGCTCCCAGCCAGGAAGAGCCCTGTCCGCCGCTGGAAGGCCAGCTATCTTCGATCGCAGACGCCCGTGCTGGGAACGGCCTTCTCGTGCTCGAGCAGGGAGGGTCGGTCTCCTCCAGCCGCGGCTGGCTCGGTTCTGAGAAGGCGAGCAAACCCACATATCCGGAAGCTGCTCAGGCGCCCCCACATTCCTTGCACAGCAGAAAAGCGACGGTTGATTGTACGCCGAAGGAGCCGGCCACTCTTCCCAGCCTGGCTCCCAGTGCGCGAGTGAGAGAGTCCGTGAGCATTAGTATCTCTGTCACCAAGAGGGACGCCGGCTGTAGAGCCGCCCAGCCTTCCGACACCGCCTTGGGCGAAGACCCTCTTCCGGGCAGACTCTTCTTGCTCCTGTCCAGGTGCGAGCCCACCCAGGAGTGCCTGCGCTCGGGGGAGACCCTCCCCGAAGAGTGCCGTGTGGGTCCTCAAGGGAAGGAAACCTCCCTGGGCGATGAAGCCCTGCGCCTGCCCGCCCTCGCTCCCGGGGAGCCCCAGGAGGCGCCCTCGGAAAGCGCCCCGCAGGCCCTCGCCTCCTCGCGCCTGAAGCGGCAGAGATCTCACGACTTCCTGGAGACCAGGTTCAAAATCCAGCAGCTCCTGGAGCCGCAGCAGTACCTCCTCTTCCTTCCTCACCACATCATCGTGAAGATTTTTGGGCTTCTGCCCACCCGCAGCCTGGTGGCCCTCAAGTGCACCTGCGGGTACTTCAAGTTCCTCATCGGGTACTACAACATCCGGCCGGCCGACTCCCGCTGGGTCCGCGACCCCCGCTACCGAGAAGACCCCTGCAAGCAGTGCAAGAAGAAGTACACCAAGGGCGACGTCTCGCTGTGCCGCTGGCACCCCAAGCCCTATTGCCAAGCGCTGCCCTACGGACCCGGCTACTGGATGTGCTGCCACAGGTCCCAGAGGAGCGTCCCCGGCTGCAGGCTCGGCCTTCACGACAATCACTGGGTGCCTGCCTGCCACAGCTTTAACCGTGCTCTGCACAAGAAGCCCAGGGAAGCGGAAGAGGACTGTTAGCATGCCCTCCCTGGCGCAGTCTTTGTGGAGCCTCACATCCTTGGTGGGGAGGGGAAAAGATGTTTTATGCCTTGTGATGTTTACACTGTATATAATTTTGTGGGTGGTTTTTTTTTTTTTTTGGTCCCCCCCTCCCCCTTTCTATTTCCCGCTTCCACAGGGCTATGAAGAAACTGCACATGACTTCTAAATCACAAGAGCCTTTTTTAACCTTTTAGAGAAAGAGAGAGAGAGAGAGAGAGAGAAATAGCCCTTCCGTGTACATAATATTCCCAGAATCTCCTTGTCCATCAGAGTGACTTGACAGCTGGTTGACCAACGTTGAAGATCACTACAACGCAGCTACGAGAGTGTTGCGGCTACAAGTCCCGTGTCGTCGTCGTTGTAAAAAGCAACAACTGTGTCTCATTTTCAAATCTGTATATCCTGTACAAAAATATACATATATAAATATATATAAATATAAATATATATTGAAAATGTTTCTGGAAGGAAACTCTAAATAGGTAAAAGAGGAATCTTCGAAAAGATGGTTTAACTGGACAACCTTAAAAAAATAGGCTAGAACAAATATTTGTTATATCTTAGGGTGGCAGCAAGCGAAAGAGGGGTGTTTTTCTTAGAGCAAAGAGTGTTGAGAAAAAGCTCTGGCTTCCCATGCCCACCTCACCTGGTTTTTGTTTCATTTTTTTTTTTACCTTAAAATAAAATGTGCATTCTGAATCTTGCTCTCTTGCTCACCTCTGTTTTCCTCTCAAGATTTTTCCTCGTTAGCGCTCTCTCTCTTAAAAAGGGGTGGTATTGCAAGCATTCTGGCTGTGTGAAAGTGCTCTGCATTACGGTCAGAGAAGCAGGGCCAGCTCCGGACACTTTTTCTGTATGGGGCAGGATGGTGTGCCCTCCCTTTTCTGCATACCCAAGGCCATGGACTGGTAGTTGGGTCTTGCCATGCAGCCACCAGCACGGAAGAATCTTCCACTACACCAGAAGGCAGCAGGTTAGTTTAGGGTATCCAGGACAAGGCCACACAGCCCTTGTGCATAGGAGGGCCATACAAGAGGATGTATCTACCACCTGGGCCAGTTGCCTTGTTTTGCCTAATGAAGATAGCTTATGTAATTGAGGGATCTTGCACCTGATTTTGAATGACACTTCCCCTATCTTGAGGTTATGTGTGACTCGGCCCACACAGTCCAGGAGGAACCCCAGGGGGGATACAAGGAGCTTTAGGGAGAGGAGGGAAAGAACAAGATTGGTTGCATGACCTTCCGCTCATTGGATTGGATACAATCCCTCTGTATTTAGCCAGGGGATGTGTATTTAGGACGGTGGGGGTGTTGAAAAACTAACTGGATTTTGAAATTTAAATGTGAATCTTGGCAATTTCCGATTCTGCAAATGTCAAAAAACAGATGTGCACCTATGCTATGGAATGCACACTCAATTTTCAGACATTGACGAGGTTTTCCGGAATGCTCAAAATCAACATGGGCATGCTGATGTTTTCCAAATATTTAGGCATTCAGAGTTACATAACCTTCATAGAGTTTACTCCCAATTAATAGACGGTTGCACACTTTGATCAGAGGCAGGTTGCAGCTGCCTGAAGCGCAGTCGCTTCTTGCCACACACATGGATTTGACTGTTGGAACAACCTTTTGTTTTGAGAAGCAACTTCCCTCCAGCTCTGGAAGCTAACTTTGATTAATGGAAAAGTGTGTATTTTATTCGTAGAATCAAGTAGCAGATTAAATTATGTAGTAGATGGTATATGGTTCCAGGTTGCAGAGGACACCAAATCAAGATGAGCAGGAAACGTTTTAGAAAACGTTGGAGCGTTTCATAGATAGCAATTAATTTGAAAATCAACAACAAGCATGGTTGTGCTTCATGTAGGAGCAAAAGTGCCAACCATCTCTATAGCCAGGTTGAGGCAGTTTAACTGGTAGCAAAGTCTTCTGAGAAAATATATAACTTGGCATGAGTCACCATGACTCTATTATGCAAGGCCAGTGTTTTAGGTTCTCATTGATGGGCCTGGTTTCTGAGATATGTGAGGAATACATTTTCACACTGGAAAAGAGGATGTTGATAAGGTGGGGAAATTGAGAAGAGCTTCCAAGATGAAAAAAGGGCAAAAAGGCTTGTAGCTCAGGAGCAGAGCATCTGCTGTGCATGCAGAATGCCCCAGGTGCAACGCTCAGCATCTCCAGGCAGGGCGGCTGGGAAAGGTTCCCTGCCTAAAATTCTGCAGAGCTGCTGCCAGCCTCTGTAGACAGCACTGAGGTAGATGGAACACTGGTATATGGCAGCTTCCTATGGCATGACCAGTCACAAGTACAGTGGTACCTCGGGTTAAGTACTTAATTCGTTCTGGAGGTCTGTTCTTAACCTGAAACTGTTCTTAACCTGAAGCACCACTTTAGCTAATGGGGCCTCCCGCTGCTGACGTGTCGCCGGAGAACGATTTCTGTTCTCATCCTGATGCAAAGTTCTTAACCTGAGGTAGTACCGTATTTTTCGCTCTAAAAAGTTTTTCCCTCCTAAAAATTTTCCCCTCCTAAAAAGTAAGGGGGAATGTGTGTGTGTCTTATGGAGCGAATGCAGGCGGGAGGCTCTGCTCAGCGCTCCCTTTAAAGAGCTGCGTGGAGCGTGTGTGCGGCTCTTCGGGGCTTTTCCCCGAGAGAGAAGGGCTTAGCCGCGCGCAGTCTCTCCCGGGCAAGGGGAGCCTTCATCCCGCTGCCTGGGAGAGGCTGCGTGCAGCTATCCCATAAGCCAAGACAGCCTGCAGGATTGCTGCGCAGCGATCCTGCTGGCTGTCCTGGCTTCTGGGATTCAGAATATTTTTTTTCTTGTTTTCCTCTTCCAAAAACTAGGTGCGTCTTATGGTATGGTGCGTCTTGTAGAGCGAAAAATACGGTATTTCTGGGTTAGCGGAGTCTGTAACCTGAAGCATATGTAACCCGAGGTACCACTGTATTAGGAAGAGAAGGGAGAACATGTTTTTTTAGATTACTAGGACTCTGAGAATTAACAATCTGTTTTGCAAGTTGAAAAGCACCTCAGGCAGCAGAGAACCAATCTTCCAGTAGCAATGACACATCTAACCCTAACCCTAACCCTATCCTGGCTGGGGCTGATGGGAGTCATAGCTCAACACATCTGGGAATGTTTTGCATAGGCAGTCCCTGCAGGAGAGCACCTGTTTTCTTTGTACCCAGAGACCAGTACCATCATTCCATCTTTGAATTAGTGAATTTCATAGCTTAACCACGTGCCGTGTGAAGAAGTCCCTTTTCCCCCTGTCCTGAAACTTCCAGCGTCTGGGGATGCCTCCCTGGAAAGAAACCCAGATATGAAACAGCGGATTTGTTGCTGACTACCTCCAGGATCAGAGGCAACAGTTCTCTGGGACCTCAGCTGAAGATACCAGGGATTAACCCCAGGACCTTCTGCTTGGAGAGCTATAGCCAGTCTGATTGGTGGAAGAACCACATACACCTGCCCTTGCAGGTGAGAGCAGAATAAAACCATGAAATAAATGGGTGGGGCTGCTTGGTAACACCAGTGACAAGAAAATTTTCCCTCTACACTGCAGGCTTTAGGGAAAAGGTGCTATTTGCCGTTGACTCCGGGGAGCAGACGTTTTGGTGCATTGCATAAAGGTAAAGGGACCCCTGACTATTAGGTCCAGTCGTGACTGACTCGGGTTGCGGCGCTCATCTCGCTTTATTGGCCGAGGGAGCCGGCGTACAGCTTCCGGGTCATGTGGCCAGCATGACTAAGCCGCTTCTGGCGAACCAGAGCAGCGCACGGAAACGCCGTTTACCTTCCCGCCAGAGTGGTACCTATTTATCTACTTGCACTTTGATGTGCTTTCGAACTGCTAGGTTGGCAGGAGCTGGGACTGAACAACGTGAGCTCACCCCATCTCGGGGATTCGAACCGCCGACCTTCTGATCGGCAAGTCCTAGGCTCTGTGGTTTAACCCACAGCGCCACCCTTGTCCCATTGAGTTGCATATGGTCTCCCAAGTTAGCCACAGAGGCATAAGGAGCTCTGATGGGACTTTACTTGGGTTATCAGAGCATAGATTTTCAACCTTTTTGAGTCCACGGCTCCCTTGACCCAACTACATTCATTCTGGGCACCCCTGTGGGGCTCATGAGCCCAGTTATGTCACCCCTTGCCGGCAGAGCTGGCAGCCTCTCACCCTTTTTTCAGACAACCATGGGGAGTGTCCCCTCAGCTTCTCCCCTCCGGGCAGCTGCTGCTGCCCCAAAGAGAGGTGCCTCCTCATACTGCCCCATAGCACCCTGGGAAGAGAAGGCGCCCAGCCTTAGTGGCCCAACAGAGACTGGCCAAAGGTGGGAGGCAGCAGTGACAGCAGCAGGGCTGCTGCAACAAACAGCTGTGCAAGCATTAAGAGGAGGGAGGGAAGAAAACAGGGATGATAATAATAATAATAATAATTTATTATTTATACTCTGCCCATCTGGGTGGGTTTCCCCAGCCACTCTGGGCGGCTTCCAACACAATATTAAAATACAGTGGTCTGTTAAACATTAAAAGCTTCCCTAAACAGGGCTGCCTTCAGATGTCTTCTAAAAGTCTGGTAGTTGTTTTTCTCTTTGACATCTGATGGGAGGGAGTTCCACAGGGTGGGTGCCACTACCAAGAAGGCCCTCTGCCTGGTTCAGTGTACCTTGGCTTCTCGCAGTGAGGGAATCGCCACAAGGCCCTCAGAGCTGGACCTCAGTGTCCGGGTAGAACAATGGGGGTGAAGATGCTTCTACTGGACTGAGGCCGTTTAGGGCTTTAAAGGTCAGCATCAACATTTTCAATTGTGCTCAGAAATGTACTGGGAGCCAGTGGAGGTCTTTCAAGACTGGTGTTATGTGGTCTTGGCGGCTGCTCCCAGTCACCAGTCTAGCTGCCGCATTCTGAATTAGTTGCAGTTCCCGGGTCACCTTCAAAGGGAGCCCCACATAGATGCCAGTGTTGCCCGCAGCCCCCCTGACCATCATTCAAGGCACCCCAGAGTGCCACAGCACACTGGCTGAAAACTACTGTATTAGGGGTCACTTTTGTGTTCATAGCAGACACCCAGATGTATACAACACACAATACTGTCACCTTTGTAGTGTTCCTTAGAATTTTAGAAAACCTACGAGGATTCACAGAACTAGCCTCTCCCAAGTCAGAATGAATGGAACAATAAAAACCAAACCCAGCCAACCTTAGGAAAACTCCTGTTAAAAGATTTATTGCAATAATACAATAAATTTTTAGAAAAACACACGCATCTGTTAGGTTACAACCCTACCTAGTGGGGCAAGTGGCGCAAGGTTTGCTGGAAAGGCAGCCAGGGGTTGGGGACCCTCAAAACATAAATCCCCCTCGGAGGGTGGAGAGCACTCCTCATTTCAGAAGCTTCGCTCGGTATCTTTTGAGGCCACTGACCCCAAATGCGCAGCCTTGCCTCTGTGGCGCCACAACTATGACCCGCAAGATGCTCAGCCGGCTGTCTTCAGCCACAACAGTCCGCTAATGGGGAGCCTCTCTGCTCCTCGCCATTCAAACAGAACACAATCACACCTCAATTGCACTAAAGTTTTGGGCACACACTCCCGGTTTCTCCACATAGCTATATATGTGTAAAAACATTTTTTATATATGTGTGTGTATCTATTTATATATACATATAAAACAAAAACCAACCGGAAAAAAACCATTGTTACAAAAAAAAAAGTGTTTCTGGAAAGGATTTGACACCCTAACATATTACAATCCTTGGGGCGCACCTTTGTGAATTCAGAGTGGATGCTACACTACGGCGCTAGAGAGGCATCGTTTTAAGACAAAGAAATCAGGACTGACAAAAGGTTTGTGGTTTACTGGCATTTCCTATTAAGAGGGTTTCCCCTCTCTTCCTTTTTTAAACAAACCATAAATAAGCAGCAGAATGGATGATGGGGCAGGGAAGGGAACATACGAGTTATATTTACAAGGGGGAAAGAACCCAGCAGCTACGAGCCCAGCATTGAGCAGCCTAACTCCTTTGCAACTAATAAAGTGCCTTCTTTCACAGGACCTCCTTCCACACATATCGTTTCGGACACAGGAGAGACTCGCAGGGCAGTGTCCCACGCTGAGCACCCTTTGAGGCAAAGACAAGTGAGCCCTGCACCACCCGGTTTCCCTCCGGTCTCTCGTAGCTGGACAAAACCTCGCCGGGAGCCTGCGATGATGGAGCAGGGTGGATTACATTGCTGCTGTTCTTCTGCGTCAAGTCTTCGCGGGCTGGGAAATCCCGCCCGGCGGGTTTAAAACTGAAAACACAGAACCGGTGGGATCTTTGGTTTATTAACAGAAATGCGCAGAACCCCACCTCCCGCGGGTACGTCTGCCACGCAAGGTTCCCCACGCCACCAACTTACACTCAACTCCAGGCCAAAGTGGGACAGGCGGAGAAACAGAGCAAAAACGCATCACAGAATCGAAACACCCAAGAGCCAAATATTCAGCACCAGCGGCTGGAACCCTCTCCTGAAGACTGCGTAAAAGTGCAGAAATGCCCACCAGCCCAGGCCCGTTATCACAGAGGAGGAAGCCTTTTGCCTGGCACGATTTTGGTCTCGGCATGTGTGCTACTCCACAGAAGCGGATGCCCGTAGGACTGCACCACGTGGACTCTGAATCATGGCAGGAAGCATCCTTGGGCTCACACTGCTGGGAGTGGCATGGGCAGGGAGGCTGGCTGGCTGCCTGCCTGGCACCTCTCTCCCAAGGTGCACACTTGACACTTTAGGCCGCGGTGGGGTTGCAAGAGAGCAAGGGCAGCAACAGAAACCCACAGCCAACTTCTCCCTTTATTGTTCTGTAACGCATTGGGGGTTGCTACATCGTGCCACTAGATGCTGGACTTCAGTGTTCTCCAGTGAACTCAGGCCCAAATTTCCATGGGGGCGTGGGGGCATGTGTCCCCTCCCCACCTGCACCGCCTGACTTGCACCTATTGCTCACTCATTCCTTGCTGAGTCTTGGCCTCCATGCACACAGGGCCTACGCTGTCTCTTATACAAGGAGAGGTGGATTTGCATGCTCCGAATCTCCACCCACTAAGTGCCTGAACCAGGACTGCTTTTCTCTAGGGGGCTGAACAAGGAAAGGGTGCATTGTCAAAAGCCTAATTTGCGCCCCCCCCAATTGCCAAATGCCTGCCTAGTCAGAAACTCAACCCAGGATGAGGTCCAAGGGGCACCGTGCTATATCCAACCGGAAGCCGAACTGGATGCAAGAACCAGGAGGATTTGATGGGGTTTTTGACCAAGGAGTAACACAAGCCCCATTGCTCTCAAGCATGAGGAGCACAGGAAAAACAACCCACATGGAACGTGGACCAAACTTCAAAACGAAAGTGCGGCTCCTTTGCACACAAAGAGGATTTGTGACGAGACAAACCTTATTGTAGCAGTAGAATTGCTCTGTATTGGCAAGTTAGTACGGTCCAGGCTTTCTTTGGTGTCGGGCAGCCAGAGCAAGAAGCCAGGGAACTGCAACTGGATCCATAAGAGCGTGCGCGCGCACACGCACACACTCACACAAAGGCGGCATGACCTAACATCTATTTTCTCCCCTTAAAAAATAAATAACCTATTGATATTGAAGAAACATGATGGTTTTCTGTATTAAAATTATGGCAACGGAGATCAGAGACCACAAAGAAATGCAGCAATCTGCACATCTTGCCAGAAGGCTCTACAAATGTGCATTTTGTGCTGCAAATTTTCTCCCCTGTGCACACTTTTGGAATAAACACACACACACACACAAACGTAACCCAAGAACCCTGCTGGGAACTAATCACAGGGGATGTGGTGGCCACGATAGTTTTCTCTTTCAGTCTTCATGCTTCAAGATGATTTGCCAAGCCACATAACCCAGGATCTATCTCCTTTTTTTGTTTAAGGGACTAAACTAAAAAAGAAACTGAAGTTAACAGACAGGATCCTCCTCCTTTCACCCTCAGCGGAACACGTGGGACTCGGAAGACGCACAGAGCTCCGTTTCCAGGTGTCCAAAATGCGTGTCGAAAGAAAACGAGATGCAAGGTGACTGCCGCGCAGTCAAGCTTGGCCAGATTGAAAGCATCTTCCGGAGGGGAGAGCGTGTTACGCAATCAGAAGTCTGACCCTTGATGTTCCAGGCACTACTTAGCAGAATTGGGAAGGTTTACTACAGTGATGGTGGGCGGGATGTGGGACAGGAACTCCCCCCCCCCAGAGGTCCGAGTGTCACCCTAGCGATGTCCAGTGTACGCTTTGAACCAGGAGGTAACGGAGGCCGCGGCCGAGGAGATCATGCCTCCGGCGCTGCTGCTGGCGATGGGCTCCCGCGAGGCCAGCGTGCTCTGGCTCTGAAGCATCTCCACCGTCTGTGAGGGGATGTCGCAGAACCGGGGGCTGGGCAGGTTCTCCCAGTCCGTCCCCAGGTCCGTCTCTTCGTCGCTGACATGTTCGTCGCCGCTCTCGTCCGTTTCGCCGGCGCCGCTGGGGTCCACAAACTCCATCGAGTCCTCCAGGTCGGCGCTGATCTCGAACGGCCCGGACCTGCGGTCAGAAAAATGGACTCGGCTTACGGGGAAAACGACTCGCAAATTGGGACCAGCAAGAGGAACGAAGATACCTTTTGCAGGAGAATGGCAGAGCTTTGCTACACTTACAAACTCTCCAGAAAAACAAGGTTTAAACCGGGCACCCCCAAACTCGGCCCTCCAATGGGACTACAATTCCCATCATCCCTGACCACTGGTCCTGTTAGCTAGGAATGATGGGAGTTGTAGTCCCAAAACAGCTGGAGGGCTGAGTTCGGGGGTGCCTGGGTTTCAACTGACTGGTGGATCACTTAATAATAATGCTGTAAGCTGTGGTGTAGGGACAGGAATCCAGGTTCTCATAATATTTGGGAAGGTCTCCAGCGAAATTTGAAGAACACAAGTAAGGGAAAGGGTGTCACAGTCTAACCCTTTGAGGCCAGGATTGGAGCTGAAGAGAAACCAAAGGAACTAAACTTGCTGGGGAAAGGCCCTAACCCCTCTCAACCATGGTGAACCACAGACACACTCTCATATTAAGGATACATTGCAGTCTGGCCAAAGGACCCAAAGGGGCTGGGGAGCAGGGCTGCAGAGGAGGCCTGGCCTGGGAAGAGCCCCAGGGTGAGAGATATAGACTTGGATGGCTACATTCAGCCCCCAGGCCTGAAATTCGTCTCCCCTTCAGGTAGACGGTCCGGCTCAGCTTGTGGATGCCGATTTCCCTCCAAGCCACAGAGGGTTGCTGCCAGCCAGAGCGGATTCTCCTAGGCTATGTGGACCGCTGCTCCAGTTCAGTACAAGGCAGTTTTAGTTGCTTAATTTGGCTCTCTGTTCGGTTGTCATGGTCCCATTTCATAGCTCAGGGAAAGCTGAATTAGGAAAGGAGGCCCTGAGGGAGCAGAGGGGGGGAGGAGGTATCCTGGTGGCACAGGGATGGGGAATAATAATAATAATAATAATAATAATAATAATAATAATTTATTATTTATACCTTGCTCTGGGCGGCTTCCAAAAAATATATATTAAAATACTGTAATACATCAAACATTAAAAGAACAATGAGGGCGGAGACGCTCCTTCAGATATACTGGACTGAGGCCGTTTAGGGCTTTAAAGGTCAGCACCAACACTTTAAATTGTGCTCGGAAACGTACTGGGAGCCAATGTAGGTCTTTCAAGACCGGTGTTATATGGTCTCGGCGACCGCTCCCAGTCACTAGTCTAGCTGCCGCATTCTGGATTAGTTGTAGTTTCCGGGTCACCTTCAAAGGTAGCCCCACGTAGAGCGCATTGCAGTAGTCCAAGCGGGAGATAACCAGAGCATGCACCACTCTGGCAAGACAGTCTGCGGGCAGGTAGGGTCTCAGCCTGCGTACCAGGTGGAGCTGGTAAACAGCTGCCCTGGACACAGATTTGACCTGCACCTCCATGGGCAGCTGTGAGTCCAAAATGACTCCCAGGCTGCGCACCTGGTCCTTCAGGGGCACAGTTACCCCATTCAGGACCAGGGAATCCTCCACACCTGCCCACCTCCTGTCCCCCCAAAATAGTACTTCTGTCTTGTCAGGATTCAACCACAAGGGGAAGGCTGCGCCAGGCTTAGAAGTGGCACAGAAAGGGGACAAGGAGGGTGAGGTGGTGATGGCAGGGCGCAAAAAGAGGCTGGAAGCTGCCTCTTACCTTCCCAAATGTTCTGTCTCGGGGCTGACCAGGTACATCAGGTTCCTGAGTGTGTGCAGAGGATGGAGGAGGTCTAAGTTTACGTGCTGGAAGAGGAAGAAAGCAGAACATCCATCAGGCAAAATGTGCTGAGACGAGGAAGGGAAAGAGTGAAGCCACCCGAGAGATTAAAAAAGAAAAACCGCATTCACTGTACCTGAGAAAAGCAAAGGTAAAGGATATTGGCGTTCAGCTTTTTCACTGCCCACGTGAACTTCCTCCTGCTGAGGTTTTCCCCGCAGAACTCACTGCAAGACACGTTAAAAACACATGCACAAACTGAAGAGAGAGCTCTCAAGGATCCTCTCCTGTTTCACCACCTTCTGCAACGCTAGCAAATCAACCAAAGCTTGGCAAAACGATGGCTTTTATTCGGCCAGTTGGCAGGAAAGGGAAGAGCGAGCATCTTGCTCATTTCCATTTCTGGAAGGAGGCAAAACTAACTGTTCGGGCACTTCTTCCATGCAGAAATAATAATAATAATAATAATAATAATAATAATAATAATAATAATAATAATAATAATATATTATTTATACCCCGCCCATCTGGCTGGGTTTCTCCAGCCACTCTGGGAGGCTTCCAACAGAATATTAAAATTCAATAATCTATTAAACATTAAAAGCCTTCGGATGTCTTCTAAAAGTCTGGTAGTTGTTGTTCTCTTTGACATCTGGTGGGAGGGCATTCCACAGGGCGGGCACCACTACCAAGAAGCCCCTCTGCCTGGTTCCCTGTAACCTCACTTCTTGCAGTGAGGGAACCTCCAGAAGGCCCTTGCAGCTGGACCTCAGCGTCCAGGCAGAACGATGGGGGTTGAGACGCTCCTTCAGGTATACTGGACCGAGGCCGTTTAGGGCTTTAAAGGTCAGCATTAACACTTTGAATTGTGCTCGGAAACGTACTGGGAGCCAGTGTGGGTCTTTCAAGACCGGTGTTATGTGGTCCCGGTGGCGGCTCCTAGTCACCAGTCTAGCTGCTGCATTCTGGAAGGAATCCCTTTGAGAGGGGAAGGGTTAAGTCAAAGCTGTAGGTAGGCCCTGTAACCCAACCTGTTTGCATTCACCTCTCTCTCTGTGTGTGTGTGTGTGTGTAGGTTCTGTTCAATAAGCAGAGACCCATGACCAGGGTTTCCCAAACCGGAGTGGCCATCTGTTTTTTTGGACTATAACTCCCATCATCCCTAGCTAACAGGAGCAGTGGTCAGAGATGATGGGAGCTGTAGTTCAAAAACAGCTGGAATCCCAAGTTTGGGAAATGTTGCACAAGAGGTCCCTCCCTATACCTAGAGAACACACCCGGGAGCAGCTGTTGGGGCTTTCTGTTTTCTGTGGGAGACAAATGCACAAAGAAAAGGTGAAATCCACGCCGCTCTCAAATATCTCCATTTTTTGCTTCCTCTCCGGTGTTACCACATGGGCCTTGGGGAGCTCAAAGTGCTTCACGTATAAAGGTAAAGGTACCCCTGACTGTTAGGTCCAGTCGTGGCCAACTCTGGGGTTGCGGCGCTCATCTCGCTTTATTGGCCAGTGTACAGCTTCCGGGTCATGTGGCCAGCATGACTAAGCCGCTTCTGGAGAACCAGAGCAGCGCACAGAAACGCCGTTTACCTTCCCGCTAGAGCAGTACCTATTTATCTACTTGCACTTTGACGTGCTTTCGAACTGCTAGGTTGGCAGGAGCAGGGACTGAGCAATGGGAGCTCACCCCATCGTGGGGATTCGAACTGCCAACTTTCTGATCGACAAGTCCTAGGCTTTGTGGTTTAACCCACAGCGCCACCCGCGTCCGTTGCTTCACATATAATCCCTTGCAATTGTTACAACGTGCAATTGTACAGTGAGTCCAGGTGTTCGGCTGCATTGCATCTACCCGGCGGAAAAGGGGGTCTTTCCGAAATGTTGCACGCGAAGAAATTCCCACAGTGTAAACTGGGGTTCATGCACTTATAGACCTGATGCTCAAAACACATGATGCTCCCCTCGCGCCACCCGCCAGGTTATTCCAAGACAACTTGCCTGTTGTACAGCTTCTTGGGAAGGTTAACGTCAAGTATATGCGACAAAATGTTGACAAGCTGAGTTGCATAGCACAGGGCAGCACTGATGGTGTAAGCGGGGTTGTTATGTTCCATGTCTGGAAGGGAAACAACAACAGGCCCTCCATCAGTAGGTTGTAAAAGGACTCCCCCCCCCCGGAGTATCAGCTAGATACGTCTCCCCAAGAAACAGCCCCATCAAGAAGGGATCCTTAGATCCCGGTGCAGCATAATAGTTAGGGTGCCGAACTAGGACCTGGGAGATCAGGGTTCAAATCACCGCTTAGTGGTACCTTGGTTCTCAAACACCTTGGAACCCAAACACTGCAAACCCAGAAGTAAGTGTTCTGGTTTGCGAACTTTTTTGGGAAGCCAAACGTGCTCCGTTTTGAGTGCCACGCTTCTGTTTTGAGTGTTATGCTGAGATCTGTTTTGCTATTTATTTTGCATTTTTGCGGCTTTTTTTGTTTTCATGACTGTGTGGAACCCAATTCAGCTACTGATTGATTGTGTGACTGCAGTACATTGTTTATTGCTTTCATTTTATGGGTCTATGGTCTCATCCGATAGTAAAATTCATGTTAAATTGCATTTTTAGGGGTTGTTTTTAAAAGTCTGAAACGGATTAATCCATTTTGCATTACTTTCTATGGGAAAGCGTGTCTTGGTTTTGGAACGGACTTCCGGAACGGATTAAGTTTGAGAGCCAAGGTACCACTGTATGGAGGGGTAGAGATGTCAGGGAAGCACATAACCTCCACATAACTTCAACTCACTTTGTCCATGGCTGTGATGTGAACCCTGAATTCTGCCCAGCTCTGTCTTAGGGCCCCTGGGACTTTTGCTTCCACCCACCCACGGACAGGACACAAACAAAAATTAAAACTGTGTTGCGAAATGGTGTATGAATTATACAAGTTATTTATCTTCTCTGAACCCCGAGTCACAAATCTCAAATCCCAGCTGACATTTTTGCCGCCGTTCCGGCTTCTGAGAGTTCTGCAGGCGAGGGATTTGCCGGCATGTTGCGACAACCATGCTGCTGAAAAATTTGCTCTGCCTTTTTTTCCCAACCAGGAAAGAAAGGAAAAGGAAAGGAAGCCAAGATTCTCAGGGAGTTGAATTCTCTGCCTGGACCTGTGCTCCACAGCTTTGTGTGGCTGCAGAATCGCAACCGACGGGGGAGCCCTGCTGACGCACTCCTAGGCTTCCCTAAATTCAGTCCAAGCTATGTGTTCTGCATTGATGTTAACCACATAATCCGAGTGAAGGAATGAACAGAGGCTTATTCCCAGTGAGTTTAACTTCTGCCCAGCCAGAGGCTCTGTGGAATTTTTTTTTACCTGGCCCTTGAGTGGTCTTCTTCTCTTCCACCCAGTTGTAGTAAGCAGAATAATCTCCGTTGTTGGGAAGGGTGATCCAAGGCCCCGCGATGCCTATGCTGGTGTCTCCGTTGTGGTCGTCACACACCCATCGCCCGGACAGGTAGGTGGTCCTCCTGGCTTCCGCAAGCTTGCTCACAGTGCTAGAAGTCATGGCGTTGTCGCTCTCGGACGACATGTCTGCGGGGTCCCTGGAATAAAGGCAAGATGCTGAATGGCGGTCTATAAAGAAGGATATAGGGACACGGGGGGCGCTGTGGGTTAAATCGCAGAGCCTAGGGCTTGCCAAACAGAAGGTTGGCTGTTCGAATCCCTGTGACGGGGTGAGCTCCCGTTGCTCAGTCCCTGCTCCTGCCAACCTAGCAGTTCGAAAGCGCATCAAAGTGCAAGTAGATAAATAGGTACCACTCCGGCAGGAAGGTAATTGGCATTTATGTGTGCTGCTCTGGTTCGCCAAAAGCGGCTTAGTCCTGCTGGCCACATGATCCGGAAGCTGTATGCCGGTTCCCTCGGCCAATAAAGCGAGATGAGCGCTGCAACCCCAGAGTCGGCCACGACTGGACCTAATGGTCAGGGGTCCCTTTACCTTTTAGGGAAGGATATAGCCACCCCCACTAGCGGCTGCTACTGGTGTCCCCTCCGTGAACTGGGGCAAACTGTGCCCAAGGGACTCAGAAACTGGGCAGAACGTACAGAAATAAATGAACTCCTTGGGACATCGTCCCAGGAGTCCAGCTTTTCCTCTAAAAAGCGGGAAAAGAAAACATTGTGGCTAAAATTAAGCACACTGCTTTCAGTGGAAGAAATAAATCCATGCTAACATCATCTCCCTTAGGCATCAATGGGAGCAGAAAGCGATTAAAATTGAACATTTAAGGAATTAGCTTCTGTCAAAGAAAAGCTGAAAACAGGCGTAAGACAAACAGGTGTTGAGGCTGCAACCCCAAGCAAACTAATTATCCCCACCCAACCAGCCACCTAGAAGCCACCCTTTAGACCACGCAGGGTAAAACGGAGGAAAATTAAGAACTGCACATGTCCCCTTGAGCAGGATAAGCCTATATGGGATAGCTCAGTCGGCAGAGCATGGGACTCAAGGCCCGCATTGAACAAACAGATTCTTGCACTGCAGGGAGTTAGACTAGGAAGCCCTTGTGGTCCTTTCCAACTCTACAGTTCTTTATTATTATAATACAGTCGTAACTCGGAAGTCGAATGGAATCTGTTCCAGAAGCCCGTTTGACTTCCGAAACGTTTGGAAACCAAGGCGCAGCTTCTGATTGGTTGCATGCCCGATTGTGCAGGTGTGCCGAAAACAATACCGGAAGCTGTACCGGACGTTCGGCTTCCAAAAAGACGTTCGAAAACCGGAACACTCACTTCCCGTTTTTGATCGTTTGGGAGCCAGAACGCTCTGTTGGGACATTGCCTACGTGCTTCTGTGCAGCTTCGCAGAGTGAGCAATTAGTAAGTTGGCTGAAGGCCAGGGAGACTGAGCAGGGGGAGTTTCTGCCTGGAGACATGGGAGCCTTGGCTCCAGCTCTGCTATTGGATGAGGTCGCCCATTTAAGCAGAATGACCCATGACTTCTCTGTGTGTATGGGAGAGTCTTGGAGCGAGTTGAAGTTTTGTTGAGAGAGAGAGAGAGAGAGAGAGTTAAGATCCATACCTTTAACTTGTATATAGTAACTTGTGAGTCTGCTGTTGTACACAATAAATCTCTAAGAAACCAAGTTACTAGTAGGCAGCATTTTGTTCCTGATCATCCTGCCAGCTTGCAAACAAACGTTTCCAGAAAGTCTGCGTACACTCTGCAGTTTTCAACACATTCAACTCCCAAGGCGTTCGGGAACCGGGGTACGACTGTAATAATGTTATTGTTTGTACGCAGCCCATCTGACTGGGTTGCCCTAGTCAGAATTCTTTGATCCTGATAGAAACGTAGTAACTTTTATAAAATGAAGCCCACTGCAGCTCAAAGGGACTTTCACCCAAGTAAACGTGATACCTTTGCACTGTGGAGAGTGTATTAACTTATGGTCTGTGTGTGTGGTTTGGGAGCTGCACAGCCAGGGAGAAGGCAATCCTGTCCAGGGTTGTAAAGACTGCTGAGAGAATAATTGGTGCACTCTTTCCACCTTGGATCAAATCTACGCTTCCAGGTACCATAAGAAAGCGGCAGAGATAGCGCAGAATAGTGCGCACCCCAGAAATGATCTCTTTCAGCTTCTGCCTTCTGGAAGAAGGTACAGGGTTATAAAGACTAGGACTAGCCGCCTGAGAAACAGTTTCTACACAAATGCAATTCTGGTTCTAAACGCAGCATAAGGGGTCTTTACAGTATAGTGTATTTTAAAATGGGGTTTCAGAGTTTTTAGGGGGTTTTGAATGTTTTATGTAGTTTTTCAATTTCATTGTTCTGCATAGGACAATGACAATAAAAATATCGTATCGTATCGTGTTCTGGTTTGGGTACATACTGGGTGACGTCAAGAGGGAGAAGGACCATTTCAACACAACCCCTTGTCCCCACATTCCCTTGGCCTTCCAGTTGCCACCAGGTTTCCTGCCCACAGCTTTGCAGCCAGATGAGGATGGATATACAGTGGTGCCCCGCAAGACGAATGCCTCGCAAGACGAAAAACTCGCTAGACGAAAGGGTTTTTCGGTTTTGCGTTGCTTCGCTAGACGAATTTCCCTATGGGCTTGCTTCGCAAGACGAAAACGTCTTGCGCTTTTTTCTTAAAGCCACTTGAAGAGGCGCAGTTGCGACGGACCGTGCTTCGCAAGACGAAAAACATCGCAAGACGAAAAGACTTGCGGAACAAATTATTTTCGTCTTGCGAGGCACCACTGTAAATAACAAAATTATTATTACTACTAAACCCCACAAAAGAGCACACGTATGCCTCTCGCCTGCTGCATCTTGCAGACCGAGGAAGGGAGCACCGTTTCCCGAGCGAGCAGCTCACCGCACTGGTTCGGCAGCTGCCCCTTCCTTCCCTACCTCATGCCAATCTTCACCTCCTCGATAGGGAAGATGACGGAGGTGAGTTCCAGGACATGCAAGCGCCGGAGGCCTGCAAGGTGCTCGTGCTGGCTTCTCAGGTCGTAGTTCCTTTTCTCCACCAGCTCTCCCAGCTTGCGGTTGTGCCTCTGGATCTTCTCCTTCTTCTCCTGATGCCGCTGGGCCCTGCGGTACAGCTTCTGGTTCTCGTCCTTAATTCGGAGAAGCCACTCGGAGTCTGGGGCAGAGCAAAGGCAACGGTTAGCTTTCGGGGTGGAACCGTCGTTTCTTCAAACTGGTGCTGCAACCGGCTCATTCTTTCGATCAGAGATGGCCAGTCCGAGGCAATAGCTTTGATTTTTAGCTTCAACTTGATTTTTTTCCAGCTGTTAACTTCTGATTAATAAAAAAGGGTTAGTTACATTGCTCTAGCAGGAGGGACGCAGGTGGCGCTGTGGGTTAAACCATATAGCCTAGGACTTGTCGATCAGTGGTTCGAATCCTTGTGAAGGGATGATCTCCCATTGTTTGGTCCCTGCTCCTGCCAACCTAGCAGTTCAAAAGCGCATCAAAGTGCAAGTAGATAAATAGGTACCGCTCCAGCGGGAAGGTAAACGGCATTTCCATGTGCTGCTCTGGTTCGCCAGAAGCGGCTTAGTCATGCTGGCCACATGACCTGGAAGCAGTACGCCAATAAAGCGAGATGACCGTCGCAACCCCAGAGTCGGCCACGACTGGACCTAATGGTCAGGGGTCCCTTTACCCTCACATTGCTCTAGCAGTTGTTTCCCCAACTTGCTTCCCCAGCTGTTGTTGGACTATAACTCCCATCATCCCTGAGCACTGGTCCTGCTAGCTAGGGATGATGGGAGTTTCAGTCCAACAACTGCTGGGGACCCACTGCTCTGATGGTTATAACTGGTTGCTTGAACCACTTTATGCCAACTGAAAGGGCCCCCTCAAACGTGCCCAATGCTATTCCGCTACTGAGGATTACAGTGGAAGACTGACAAAGGCCAAACTTTCTTTTGGGGAAGTTGCCCGCCATTACTGATCTTATCATCAAAGAAGCCCAGATAAGCTTCTGGGGAATGCTAAGGTCACATAGCATGCTTTGCAAAACTGTTCAGCTATGGGAACAGGAGTGCCCCAGAGTCTGCCAAAGCTTTTACTGAGGAAGAAGAGGAGGAGGGGAGGTTTTTGGACTTGATACCCTGCCTTTCACTCCCCTTAAGGAGTCTCAAAGCAGCCAACAATTTCCTTTCCCTTCCTCCCCTACAACGAACACTCTGTGAGGTGAGTGGGGCTGAGAGACTTCAGAGACTAGCCCAAGGTCACCCAGCAGCTGCATGTGGAGGAGCAGGGAAGCGAACCCGGTTCACCAGATTACGAGTCCGCCGCTCCTAACAACTACACCACGCTGGCTCCCAACACAAGCATCACTTACTTCGTGCCATTTCTTCGTTCTCCTTGCAGATCGTTTGCTTCAGCTGCTCAACCCTCATTTTGCAGGACATTATTTTCCACCTCTGAAAGAAACGGAGCAAGTAGAGGAGCTGCCCCCAAATCCACCACCTCAACAGCCTTAATCAACCAATCAGTTTTGTTTCAGGGCCCAAAGGAGCAGCACCTATGATAGGGCTATTTATTATCCCCTGAACTGCACACTGCAATGTTTTCAATCAAGAGGCTTCTTGAGCCCCTCACTAGGTATAAACATTAAATTACTGTGACCCAGAGTAATCCTGGGGCTGGCTGAGTATGGTAATTCAGTGCGAAAACAGCACTTTTTGCTTTCCCCAAAGGCATTATTATTTTAGGGGCAAGTGAGACAACAGATACATCTATTCTCTCAACCAAATTCGCCTTCAGCAAAAAAGTTATACGTCTTGCTTATCTGCCAGCTATTTGGGCATTGCCTTGGAAACAGAAAGACTGGATGGAGGCTAGAACAGACAGATACTTTTACACCTTCAGAAGAAAAAAGAAATTCCAGCCAAAGTAGCTGTAATTAAGTTCTGTCTTTCTTCCAATGAACTCAAACCATTGCACATGGTCCTCTTTCAGTTCCTGCTTTCTCCTTGAAACAGCCCTGAGAGGTAGGTTAAGCTGGGAGCAAGTTTGACTGGCCCAAGGTCACCCAATTGGGCTTCTTGGCTGAGTCGGGATTTGAACTCAGGTTTCTCGGGTTCTTGTCCTACACTCTAAGCGCTACATTGCACTGGTGGAAGCATAGGATAAAAGCAACTTTCCTTTGCTAAACTCAACAGGTACAAGACATCCTGCAAATTTAAGGGTATCCAATCTCCCCTTTTAAAATGTAGGTTTACTTTGGCAACTGGTAGAGCATGAGCCTCTTAATCTCAGGGCCATGGGTTCAAGCCCCAAGTTGGGCAGAAAGATTCCTGCACTGCAGGGGGTTGGACTAAATGACCCTCGTGGTCCCTTTCAACTCTACAATTCTATGATTACAGGGCACTGTGCTCTGTAATAGCTTTGTGTTTATCCTTCTCTGAAATCATCATTAAATGCCCAAAAGGGAGCTGAGGTTTAGGGATCAACCTAACAGGGTTGTTGCATGGCTTACCAAGATAATGTGGATGTTGTGCTTCGAACACTTGGGGGGAAGGAAATGTTATATAAATGCAAAATATTACTACTGGACTGAAGCTGGTGCCCCACGGTACAACCCCACACTCCCCTGGGTATGCATGCACAAGAGACCCACAAGGGCAGGGCTGGTATGCGGTTCCTTCTCATGTGAAGAAAACTGCAAGGGTCTACACTGAAAAGTGGTCACTGCGCTTCAATGTGAACTGGAAAACTTCCACAGGACTCACCAGCTGGTCAGTTATCCATTTCCCCTCCATAGCTTTTAACAACCTACAAGAAGAGGGGAGCGGAAGGAGCAGAAGATTAGCTGGCAACCAGAACCACGCTTTCAGCAAACATCAGAGGTTCGAAAGACGATCTGCCTGTGCTTTAAGCCAACCAAAGTAGGTAAAAGAAACTGAACTGGGACTTACTGGGACTGGAATTCGTGCTGCTTGTTTCTAAGGTGCTTCAATCTCTCCTTCTTTTCAGAAAACCTGGAAAAGAAAGAAGTTCAAAGTTGTGGAAGGTGAAGGAGGTCTGCTGTTTGATGGCTCAGCCTATGTGTTTGTTTTTGAAATCTCCATACAGCGCTTTGAAATTTAGGTGCTTTATATACGTTAGCTTTATATACCTAAGGGACGTGTGTGGCGCTGTGGGTTAAACCACAGAGCCTAGGGCTTGCTGATCAGAAGGTTGGTGGTTCGAATCCCCGCGATGGGGTGAGCTCCTGTTGCTCAGTCCCTGCTCTTGCCAACCTAGCAGTTCAAAAGCGCTTCAAAGTGCAAGTAGATAAATAGGTACCACTCCGGCGGGAAGGTAAACGGTTTTTCTGTGCGCTGCTCTGGTTCGCCAGAAGCGGCTTCGTCATGCTGGCCACATGACCCAGAAGCTGTACGCCGGCTCCCTCGCCCAATAAAGCGAGATGAGCGCCGCAACCCCAGAGTCGGCCACGACTGGACCTAATGGTCAGGGGTCCCTTTACCTTTACCATATACCTTAGCAACAGCAGAGCACCAACCTCATCAACTGAAGGAGTAAAAAGATGGATGCAACAATGTCAGACATTTTAATCAGTGTTAGGAAACCCCCAGGTGCCAGGCACATTTTGCGACTGGCACGGGTCCACTTGCGACCACGCGGAGATCTCTGGATGGCACGTTCTGCGACTGACATCTCCATCTGGCTGAACACTCCAGCTTTCTTAAGCAGGTAAGCAAAAGAGCTTATTTGTTGTGCTGGTCTCCCACCTTTTTCTCCAAGGAGTACATAGTTCACCCTCCTCCTCAGTTAACCCCAACAACGACCCTGCGAGGTAGGTTAGGAGGTTGCGACTGGCTCCAAGGTCACCCGGTGAGCTTCATGGGGTGGGGATTTGAACCCTGATCTCCCAGGTCCTAGTCCAAGCACTATACCACCCTGGCTTCCTACAGTACTTCCACTATGCAACAGCTATATATATTATATATATATATATTATATATTATATATTATATATATATATATATATATGTAGGTAAATAAATATGAGGAAAGCAAAATGTCACTTAGCGAAGGATCTGAAATATTTTCCTTGATGCTTGAATTTGTTTTATTCTGGGTTGTTTTATTAGATGTTTTAATGCGTTGTAAAGCGGTATAGAAATGAAAAGAATAGTAGTAGTAATAATAAAAAGGGCACCTAGATATTCTGTTGTGGCGACCATAGCCATGGTTTAAGGTGCCATTTTGTGATTAGCTTATATATCTGAGTTTCTAACACTGTTTATAGAGCGTTTTGGGCACAGCTGTTTGGCTTAACTTAGACCAGGAGTTTGATGAGGGGCAGCTTATGTTTCACTGGAAGACTGCCAGCCAACTTCTGATAGGTCACCTCAAGGCTGACCATGGCTGAACCTGCCAGATAGTCCTCATGTTCTTGAGCAAAATAAGAGATTGGGAATATGCAACCACGTGCTGTATCATTCAATGCACTACCCATGGGATTGTGGCAAAAATAGTAACACCACAAGACTGAGGTCAGGCCACTTGTGACCTCCCACATATAATCATTTGGAAAGAGATGTGCACTCGAAGGTATTCTGATGACAACTATTGGTTAAACGATTTTGAACCCTTCTTCCCTTCTGTTTCTTTATAACATTGGTATACTGTATTTAAATTTATTAGAATCATAGAATCATAGAGTTGGAAGAGACCACAAGGGCCATCGAGTCCAACCCCCTGCCAAGCAGGAAACACCATCAGAGCACTCCTGACATATGGTTGTCAAGCCTCTGCTTAAAGACCTCCAAAGAAGGAGACTCCACTACACTCCTTGGCAGCAAATTCCACTGTCGAACAGCTCTTACTGTCAGGAAGTTCTTCCTAATGTTGAATCTTCTTTCTTGTAGTTTGGATCCATTGCTCCGTGTCCGCTTCTCTGGAGCAGCAGAAAACAACCTTTCTCCCTCCTCTATGTGACATCCTTTTATTAAGTGGTATTGTGTTTTCATCAACAGTAATTTCTGCTCATTCTTGGGAAGAAGGTCCCAAATTCCTACAATTTCCCTATCCCAATTCCCAATTTCTGTAACCTGAAGTGTCTTTAACCCGAGGTACCATTGTAAATGCAAAGTAAGAAACACAAAACACTTATTGAAATTCATTTCTTTTTTAAAAAAAGAAATATTCCACTACTAACAGCCCATTCTACTGCTTCTCATGCCAGGCAGAAACAAGTCACAATCCCTGGCTTAAATTTAAATCTGAAATTGAAACAGGAAATGTGATTTGTTTCATCCTCAAGAAAACCACAGTCTGTAGACAAAATCTGTTCTGAAGGGCACCTGATTGGCAAAGACTGCTTCAGCTATTTTGTTACGCTATTTTTGCTAGCTCCTGGAAATAAGTATTTCCACCCCCCATGATGTACAGTGGTACCTCGGGTTACAAACGCTTCAGGTTATACACTCCGCTAACCCAGAAATAGTACCTTGGGTTAAGAACTTTGCTTCAGGATGAGAACAGAAATTGTGTGGCAGTGGCAGCGGGAGGCCCCCTTAGCTAAAGTGGTACCTCAGGTTAAGAACAGTTTCAGGTTAAGAATGGACCTCCAGAACAAATTAAGTTCTTAACCCGAGGTACCACTGTACTTCTCAAAACTATGACACAATACTCAAAACACCCTGCACAAAACAAGGGGAGCAAGCTGCCTTTGTTTTTACTAACGGCAGGACTTCCTGCCAAACCGTGACTCATCACTGACAATTAAATGTTAACCAAGCTCTAACTTCTTAACAAACAAAGTGTTGGAAGAACGTTTCCTGAAACAAACACTGCATTTCAGCATGAAGTATAATTCAGGAGCAGACTAACAATGAGGAAATATAAATCCTATTGAGATCCAAGTGACTCAAACTTCTGTGAAGTTAAGAGTTGAGAAGCGGGAGTTACGAAAGCTATGCTATGTAATATTTCGCTCTTGTGACTTCTTCCTGTTTACAAAAACTGTAATTCACCCATGACATGTGTGAAATCATAAATATGATTTATTTTAATCATACACACACACTATCTCTCTAAAGGAACAGGTACATAACTTGGGGTGCTCCTGGAACCACTGCTGTCGCTTCAAACCCAGGTGGTCTCGGTGGCAGAGAGTGCTTTCTGTCACCCTAGGCTGCTGGCCAAGCTGGTCCCCTATCTGGACACAGATAGCCCAACTTCTGTGGCCTATGCTCTGGTACCCTCTAGGTTAGATTACTGCAAGGTGTTAAATGTGGAGCTGCCTCTGAAGACGGCTCAGAAACTTCAGCTGGTGCAAAAGTCAACGGCCAGGTTGCTCACCAAGAGGAGCTGAGCATATAACACCGATCCTGGCCTGAGTGCAATGGCTGCCAATTAGTTTCTGAGTCCTAATCAAAGTGCTGCTGCTGACCTATAAAGCCTTAAATGGCTCAGGACCTCATCCAGGGCCCTTCTCTATGTCCCCCGCCCCCTTCTCAAGAGGTTCAGAGGGCAACAACATGAGAACAGGCCTTTTCTGTGGTGTCCCTATTCGTAGAATGCTCTCCCAGGGAAGCCCACCTGGTGCCATCATTACATGTCTTTAGGCACGAGTCTTTCCCAGCCCTACTTGAAGATGCCAGGGACTGATCCTGGAACCTTCTGCATGCAAAGCAGATGCACTTCCACTGATCTACTATGGCCTATCAAGGAGGGTGTTGGGACTACAAAGCTTACAAAAACCCCTCGAATTCTACAATACAACATCTGCTCTTGCATCTTGCTTAAGATGCAAGGCAGAAAGTCAGCTACTGTTCCTACCATTTAGAACAGAAAGGTTCAATACTAAAACTGACAGCTTGCTTAAATTAACAAATGTGTACGGTCACCCAGGGTCATGTAAAGAGCTGTTTGTCCCTGTTACAGCACTGGAGGAATCCAACACCTGGGCAAGTACAGCCAAAAGAATTGGGAAACAATACCATCAGCCTGAAGACGACTTTATGCTGCCAGACCAGTCTGGGTTCCCTTCAGGTCCAGCAATGTAAGAACAGTACCGCTGGATTTGACTGAGTGCATCCTGTTTCACACTGGGGCAAGCCAGATCCCTTTCAGAAGCCCCTAAGCTGGCCATGAAGACCACGGACCATCCCCACAATGTTTGCCCCCGCTCCCACCAACAGATGCCCACAGGTACACTGACCCACCACGGGTAAGCTGTAAGTTGCCCTGGGCACAAGAAAGCAACTAACAACATTTAATACACAATGACAAATTTACAAGACAGGAGTCTTGGACTCATAAATCACAGAGTTGGAAGGGACCCTAAGGGTCGACAAGTCCAACCAACTGCAATGTCGGTATCCTGCCCACCAGTATCCCTGGGTGGGCTGGAACCACCAGCCTCCTGGTTAACAGCCAGACACGCCAACCCCTTGCTCCCTGAGTGGCTGGTGAGGTCTATTACGTTGACCTCAAGGGGCAGCGTCCACCTGTCGGCACCGAGCCGCAGGAGTGCCTTTGAGCATGTGCAGAGAGCTGGAGCCACTTATCTACAGTGGTACCTCGGGTTAAGTACTTAATTTGTTCCAGAGGTCTGTTCTTAACCTGAAGCTGTTCTTATCCTGAAGCACTTTAGCTAATGGGGCCTCCCGCTGCCGCCGGAGCACGATTTCTGTTCTCATCCTGAAGCAAAGTTCTTAACCCGAGGTACTATTTCTGGGTAGCTACGGTTTTCCCAGTAGTGATGTATGGAGGTGAGAGCTGGACCATAAAGAAGGCTGATCGCTGAAGAATTGATGCTTTTGAATTATGGTGCTGGAGGAGACTCTGGAGAGTCCCATGGACTGCAAGAAGATCAAACCGATCCATTATGAAGGAAATCAGCCCTGAGTGCTCACTGGAAGGGCAGATCCTGAAGCTGAGGCTCCAAGACTTTGGCCACCTCATGAGATGAGAAGACTCCCTGGAAAAGACCCTGATGTTGGGAAAGATGGAGGGCACAAGGAGAAGGGGACAACAGAGGACAAGATGGTTGGACAGTGTTCTCGAAGCTACCAGCATGAGTTTGACCAAACTGCGGGAGGCAGCGGAAGACAGGAGTGCCTGGCGTGCTCTGGCCCAGGGGGTCACAAAGAGTCGGACACAACTAAACAACACTATTTCTGGGTTAGCGGAGTCTGTAACCTGAAGCGTCTGTAACCAGAGGTACCACTGTACAGTGGTACCTCAGGTCAAGTATTTAATTCGTTCCGGAGATCTGTTCTTAACCTGAAACTGTTCTTAACCTGAAGCACCACTTTAGCTAATGGGGCCTCCTGCTGCTGCCGTGCCGCCGGAGCCCAATTTCTGTTCTCATCCTGAAGCAAAGTTCTTAACCCGAGGTACTATTTCTGGGTTAGCGGAGTCTGTAACCTGAAACGTCTGTAACCTGAAGCGTCTGTAACCCGAGGTACCACTGTATACACTTTCTTTATCCTGGATAAAGCCTTAACTGCAACCGCGTCCCCCCCCCGGGAGGCTGAGGGGAAAGAGGGGCTGCCGAATTTCCCGCTTGAGGAGCCCCCTGAGGAGAAGCGCAGCCAAGGGGCCCCAGAGACCCCGGGGAAGGGGGGAGGGAAGGGGAAGAGGAGGGAGGGGAAGGGCCTGTCCGCCCTCCTCCTCCGAGGCACCCACCGCTCCGAGTCCCGGCCGTCGAAGAAGACGAAGTCCCCCCCGCGGACGCACTTGGCGCAGGTGAGGCGGCGCCGCGTGGTGTTGCAGAGGGGGCAGCGCTCCACCGCCACGTACAGGCCCTCGGCCCGGGACTCCGACTCGGCCCCGGCCTCCGCTCCCTCGGCGCCGGCGGCGGCGGGGGCCACAACCCCGGAGGGCGGCGGGCGCTGCTGTTGCCGCCGCGGGCGCTGCGCCGGGCCCGTCCAGCCGCCGCCCCTGGGAGACGCCATGTTTGCCGACGGGCTCGCGGCGCCCGGCGGTCACGTGGGACTTTGTTTTCAATCCGGGGCATGATGGGAAACAAAACAACCAGTGGAGGGAGGGAGGGAGGGAACGCACGCGGGGGCGGGGCTTCAAGGGGAAAGGAGCGGCGGTGACGCATTACGCAGAGGCGGGGTGCCATGAGAGAAGCGGCTCCCATTGGCTAATCCCAGACGGGCCTACGAGCGGAGTTTAAAGGGGAAAGAAAGGTGGTGACGCATTACGCAGAGTCGCGGTGCGATGGAGGAAGCGGCTCCCCTATTGGCTAATCCCAGAAGGGCCTATGGGCGGCGCTAAAGGAGAAGGAAAGGTGGTGACGCTCTGGGGAGGAGGCGGGGGTTGATGCGGGAGAGCGGTTCCTATTGGCTGCCTCGCATCCCAATCCCAGGCAGGTGTGGGAGCGCGGCTAAAAGAGGAAGGAATGGAGGTGACGTATTTTAAGGGGCGGGGATGAATGGGGGCGGTGTTTGATGGGGAAGCGGTTCCTATTGGCTGCTTCCCTGCCCAATCCAAGGCCGACTCCGTTTCCGCTGGATTTCATTCTTACCCTCCAAGGATTTGGGAGTGTTTTCACTTTTACTTATTGGGTTATTATTATTATTATTATTACTATTATTATTTATTGTATTTTAGTGTTTTGTTGGAAGCCGCCCAAAGTGGCTGGGGAAACCCAGCCAGATGGGCGGGGTATAAATAAATTAATTATTATTATTATTATTATTATTATTATTTCTCTGCGCATTTTTATTTTTTTTTGCATAGCGTTTAAAGGTTGCCGGCTGCCGAAAGGAGAAGCTGCCTTTGGAACCGCGGAAAATTAAATTTATGTGATTATGAAAGTTAAATATAAACTCAACGGCAGGCAAGGAGTTAAAAGGTTCACGTTGGTTCGCCTTTGAAGCCGAATTTGTGAAATTCGCACTTGCAGGGACAACAGGAAAACCAAAAGGCGGCCATTCCATAGACAAAGGAGATGGTGTTGGACTTTTCGGAGGAAGAGAGGAGAACTAGCCCCGCTGTACAAAGGGGAGGGCTGTGTGGAGAGAGTCTCTTCCTTTAAATTCCTAGGAGTTTATCTCAGTAAAGACCTTACTTGGAAAATCAATACAACCCAGGTGGTTAAGAAAGCCCAGCAGAGACTCCATCTCCTCAGAGTATTGCGGAAGAACAATGTCAATCAACATTTGATGATCTCCTACCGGTAGCCAATAAAAAGTGTCCTTTCACTGTGCGGTACGCTGGTTTGACATCAACTGATAGGAAGTGCCTACAGAGGGTGGTGAATACAGCACAAGATATTATGGGCTGTCCCGTGAATCCGCTGGATGAAATAGCAGAAGAACATTGCCTCAGAAGAGTGTGGAAAATTCTCAGGGATGATTCACACCCTGGCCAGCACTTTCTTGCTCTCCTGCTCTCAGGCAGAAGTTATAGAAGCCTGATTAGTCGCACCAACAGGGTAAAGAGCAGCTTCTATCCGTGGGCTGTTAGGCTGCTGAAGGAAAAGATAACAACAGGGCAACTGACTTTCGGGTTTGGTGGGTGTGCGTCAGTAAACGAGGGGAATTAAAACTAAGAGAGCTGAGCGGGGGGTGCTCGTGTAATCTCACGGTATACAAGTTGTACAAATAACAATAAAGTATTTCAATTTCAATTCTCTGACATCTGCAGTCGTCCAGATTTTACCATGTAGTTTCCCAACCAACGTTGTCAGCAATACGCTAATGACACACACCTCTGCCTCTCCTTTATAGGAGTAAATGCTCTGTTTTCTCTTTCCCTGCCTCTTTCCTTGCAACAGTGGTGTGGACAGACATATTTAAGACCATGTTCATGGAAGACAAACATACTCAGCTATGAGTGATCGCCAAAGAAAAAGACGATGCGCTAGAACCAGGCCAGTTGAATGGGTCTCCTCTAAGACTAACATGCAACTTCAGCCAATGTGGCTAGACTATATATTGTTTAATGAATAATTAAAAAAAACAACCCAGTACTTTAATAGTGTGATTTATCTTTACTTTAGACAAAAATACATTTAAAAAACGGGGAACATTTCGATTTCAACAGTATTCCAAGACGCTAACCCGTTCCCTAAAGCATTCTTACAGAACTAGTTTTTGTATTTCATATCTCTTTTATCACATTTCACACTGTTCAAAATTCAAAGCCCTTTTTTCTGTAAGGAATTCACAAGAAGAAGAATACGATGAAACAGACTGACAGCGTCAAACTAACAGAGGATTAGAGGTATTGACTCAACAGTCAATTTGTGTGTTTGAGAATTTTGTACTTGATGCTAAAACTCACCTAAACTATACAATTTATCAGAAGAAAATTAAGAAGCTTTCTTAAAGCCCTTGAGGATTGGATAGATGTTTTCAAATGCTTCATATATTTCAGAACGGTATTTGGCACCTAGGAAAAATAGTTTTGAAAAGAGCATTAATAACATTCATAAGAAATGTTAGTGGGGAAAAGAGAGAGAAGTGGGAGGACAGTTAGGAGCAATGCCCTAAAAATGTTCTCTGCCAGGAGAGTAAAAGTTGAAGGGGGAAATGGGGGAAAATTTTCCATAGCACAGCCCTTTTGAACTCCATTATCAGAGTGGGGTGGTTTTCAATCATCTCCACTAGACTGGTTGAAAAGCCTACCATAGTAGATGACACCTTCCTTCCTTGTCAGTTCCTGGCTTATACTGTTAATTATCATGTCAGTTTGGACAAACTGTTTTTCTAGCTCAGCATCTTGCACCTGGCCTGACCTGAGACAAATCTATCTTACATTTATTTTCCCTAGTTGCCACCACAGCATTCCGATTGGGTTCGTTTTTCTTAAACCTGTCAGCTATCCATTTCAATGAGAAATCTGTAGTTTTTTTATTAAGAATTTACACTGTTCACTTTCCCCCTAAAACAGCTATCCTGTTTCCCACTTCTCACATGTGGTATGTATACACACACACACACACACACACTTATCCTATCACCATTATGTATCTTGTAATGTACGCTAGGGGTGCCTGGCATGCTCTGGTCCATGAGGTCACGAAGAGTCAGACACGACTAAACGACTAAACAACAACAACAACAATGTACATATTATATATTATGTTGTTGTTTAGTTGTTTAGTCGTGTCCGACTCTTCGTGACCCCATGGACCAGAGCACGCCAGGCACTCCTGTCTTCCACTGCCTCCCGCAGTTTGGTCAGACTCATGTTACATAATTTTACATAATATATAATAAAATATTACATAATAAAATAAAATTACATAATATTATATATTATGTAAAATACGGTACATATTATGTATTTACACACAGCGGGTGGCGCTGTGGTCTAAACCACTGAGTCTTGGGCTTGCCGATAGGAAGGTCGGCAGTTCGAATCCCCGTGACGGGGTGAGCTCCTGTTGCTCTGTCCCAGCTCCTGTCAACATAGCAGTTCGAAAGCACATCAAAGTGCAAGTAGATAAATAGGTACTGCTTCAGCGGGAAGGTAAACAGCGTATCTGTGTGCTGCTCTGGTTTCGCCAGAAGTGGCTTAGTCAAGCTGGTCACATGACCCGGAAAAACTGTCTGCAGACAAACGCCGGCTCCCTTGGCCAGTAAAGCGAGATGAGCGCTACAACCCCAGAGTTGTTCACTGCTGGACTGTCAGGGGTCCTTTACCTTTACCTCTAATATTTTTGCAGGATTCAGAAAAGGACCTTAAATTCTTTTCTTCCTTATAGTTTTAGGGCAGAAGTGATGCTTAAAATGCTTTTCACATTTCACACATCAGTAAACCAAGATCATCACACTACACTGATCTGGGTGTAAAGCTCAGCAGTTGGGCTCTCTCTCTCTCTCTTCTGCATAAACTTTCACAAGCAATGCATTCCAAGCATAAAAAAATAAAATGAAACTGTTCTTAGGCTGCAATCCAATACCACTAACCTATGCATAAGCCCTGCTGAATTCAGTGGGACTTCTGAATAGATAGGTGTAAAGGTAAAGGTACCCCTGCCCGTACGGGCCAGTCTTGTCAGACTCTAGGGTTGTATGCTCATCTCACTCTATAGGCCGGGAGCCAGCGCTGTCCGCAGACATTTCCGGGTCACGTGGCCAGCGTGACAAAGCTGCATCTGGCGAGCCAGCGCAGCACACGGAACGCCGTTTACCTTCCCGCTGGTAAGCGGTCCCTATTTATCTACTTGCACCTGGGGGTGCTTTCGAACTGCTAGGTTGGCAGGCACTGGGACCGAACGACGGGAGCGCACCCCGCCGTGGGGATTCGAACTGCCGACCATGCGATCGGCAAGTCCTAGGCGCTGAGGTTTTACCCACAGTGCCACCCGCGTCATAGATAGGTATAGGATTGCATAATTGTCACACGGTGCAATTTTAGTAGAACAAATGTAAGATGTCTGATTTTACAGCTCCCATACGTTTCAGCAGGGCTCACGCTGGAGATGTTTCCGACAGATTGTGCCTATAGACCTTTCCTCCCCTTCACATTCAAACTCCTAGGTCAATAGTTTGTGCTGTATATATCACTTACCAGTTAATACAACTTTTCCAGACACAAAGATAAGCAATACAATCCGTGGTTTGACCATTCGATAAATGAGGCCAGGAAACAGTTCTGGTTCATAGCTGTTTAAGAAAGAATTAAAATGCATGAAGTTAGAAAGTCATTTGACATTGTATGTGACTAACAGGAGGGTTTTGTCAGTATATGAGAACATCGCAGCTGCAGACAGACAGCTTGTTGACATCACAAGATGTGGCTAGCTGTGGGAAAGAAGATTCCTGGAAGTTCACAGGCTTCTCAGAGCTCTGTGAAGAGTGTAATTTGAGACCTTCCGTTTGCGTATGTACAGGAAGTTTGTCGTTTCTTGCTAGATGAATGAAGTTTGAAGTGGTCGGACATGATTTCTGTAATGCTGTAAAGTCAGAAATAAAAGGATGTAAACAGACGTTTCTGACTATCTCCTTTCCCTGCTAGGGAAGCAGGAGGAGGGGGTGTGCATTTACCCACGCTGGGAAAATGTCGCCTATCAAAATCTCCCTGGTCTGTCCGGGAAGTCAGCCAGAGGAGGTTACCGGTAAACGAGCTCCGAGAGGAGTGAGAGGGGCCAGCCTCTCCGGAGGGGGCTTGTTTAACCAACAGGTTTTATGTGACTTTGGGGTGTAATGCATCAGAAAGGGTAGGGGTGAGATATCAAAAGAGTGTCTACCCTCTTCGAAAGGAAAAGGGAGGAAGCAGCTTCTGAAAAGGTCATGAGGGACACAGGTAGTCCAGGTTAGCAGAGCCAGGAAGCATCAGTGTGGAATTGTGTGAGAGGATACAATATCAACACCAGGCTATGTTCATATGACCGCTTACTCCAAAGCCATTGCACACCATAATGATACAAGCCTCCATTCACAAGCAGTGTAAATGGGGCTACGTGGGGCTACCTTTGAAGGTGAACCAGAAACTACAACTAATCCAGAATGCGGCAGCTAGACTGGTGACTGGGAGCGGCCGCCGAGACCACATAACACCAGTCTTGAAAGACCTACATTGGCTCCCAGTACGTTTCCGAGCACAATTCAAAGTGCTGGTGTTGACCTTTAAAGCCCTAAATGGCCTCAGCCCAGTATACCTGAAGAAGCGTCTCCAACCCCATCGTTCAGCCCGGACACTGAGGTCCAGCGCCGAGGGCCTTCTGGCAGTTCCCTCATTGCGAGAAGCAAAGCTACAGGGAACCAGGCAGAGGGCCTTCTCGGTAGTGGCGCCTGCCCTGTGGAACGCCCTCCCATCAGATGTCAAAGAGATAAACAACTACCTGACATTCAGAAGATATATTAAGGCAGCCCTGTTCAGGGAAGTTTTTAATGTGTGACATCTTAGTGTATTTTTTAGTGTTTTGTTGGAAGCCGCCCAGAGTGGCTGGGGAAACCCAGCCAGATGGGCGGGGTACAAATAATAAATTATTATTATTATTATAAAGCAGCAGAGGACTAGAACGTGATCTTGCCTTGAGGGCAAAGTGCTCCCTGGTTTGCAACACCCACAAGCTATTTCAGGCATCTCCCCTGTTAAGTTGTGGGTGAACATATCAGATGACACAGCAATTCTTCTACAGCTCTTGTTTATTCAGAGGCTAGAACAGAACTGAACTGAACTGAAGGGTTCAGTCAGCCTGCTTATATAGAGCTCCAGTACCATGTAATTGTAACAATTTTCTAAAAATATCCAATCACCGAACATCACTTTTGATCCCTTATTTGCATAACTATCTACAGTATCCCCCTGCTGGCCCAGGGTGAGAACTTCAGTACATAACATTCCCCAAAACAGGAAGAGCAAATGTTCTGTTTTCCTTTCCAACAGCGGCATGGATGGACGTACCTACTGAACTGCTGATGCGTGAGAACCAGGCCTTCGAGCCGGATGGGAAATCTCACATCGCAGCTGCCCACCATGTTCTGTATTTTGAAATCCAGGAACTTAGCAGGGAACCCAAGCTTCTGCACCACACGGGCGTACTTCCTGGCCGCCAGCCGCGACTGTTCTTCACTGCAGGTTCACACACACACACACACAAAAAGGGGTGGGGCAGAAATCCAGCCACCAAAGGTTTGAGGCATAGCTGTCAACTTACAGATTTGAAAATAAGGGACCAGCAGCCTCGAAAATAAGGGATCAGCAGCCAAAATAAGGGATTTTAGTCAGCCAGCAGCCAAACGAAGCCTCAAGCGGTGGTTCCCATGGCGCAGCAACCCGGCAAAGGGGATGCAGCAAGGAAAACCACCGTCCCCTCTCCGCAGGGAAGTGCTGAGCAAAGGCGAGTCCCCAGCAACGCGGCCGATTTGATCGGCACAAGGCATGCAAGCTCCACCCCCCAGCCGTTCTTAGACTCCTTATTGGGTGAGCAACGCAGCCAACCAACACAGTTGGAGCCTCCCTCCTCCCTGGCCAGCAGGGAGGGAGGGAGAGGAGCTGCTTCCTTTGAAACCCGGGAAATTTAAGGGACATCATCAATAAGGGACAGCAGCGGGACACGGCGCTGGGAAAAGGGACTGTCCCGCCAAATAAGGGGCGCTTGACAGCTATGGTTTGAGGAGGGCTATAGGTTGGTCTGTGCTTGGCAATGGTTCCATCAGGTTACAGCAGAAGGGAGAGATGGCTAGCAGGAAACCATCTGCTTGCCTGAGACGCCAGCTCTATCAGGCTTCCCCTCCAACAGCTGTCATTGGACTGTGCACCTTTCATCAGGCTGCTGCAGAGGGAACCAAGGGAGCAGGGCCGCCCCATTGACTCTGCTGAGAGGCTGCAACTTTTGACTTCTCTCCTTGAGCCATTTCCCATCCCAGCTGGTCTAGTTGCCTGAGTTTGCTCCCCATTAAGTGGGGTTACCTTTGAAGGTGACCCAGAAACTGCAATTAATCCAGAATGTGGCACCTTGACTGGTGGCCGCCGGGATCACATAACACCAGTCCTGAGAGATCTGCATTGGCTCCCAGTACGTTTCCGAGCACAATTCAAAGTGTTGGTGCTGACCTTTAAAGCCCTAAACGGCCTCGGTCCTGTATACCTGAAGGAGTGTCTTCAAACCCATCGTTCAGCCCGGACACTGAGATCCAGCGCTGAGGGCCTTCTGGCGGTTCCCTCGCTGCGAGAAGCCAAGTTACAGGGAACCAGACAGAGGGCCTTCTTGGTAGTGGCACCCGCCCTGTGGAACGCCCTCCCACCAGATGTGAAGGAAATAAGCAGCTATCTTCTCTTTAAAAGACATCTGAAGGCAGCCCTGTTTAGGGAAGTATTTAATACTTAATGCTGTATTGTTTTTAACACTCTATTGGGAGCCGCCCAGAGTGGCTGGGGAAACTCAGCCAGATGGGCGGGGTATAAATAATAAATTATTATTATTATTAAGTGGAATTATTTAATTGTACATCAAAATGAAAAATAACTCTGTATATGTATTGCTGCAGCTGCAACTTTGGAAAATTCCATTGAAGCTAAGCAAGAGGAACAGAGAGCCTAAGAGATGATAATCAACTTAGAATGTCTCTCTGCAAGCTCGCACGTGGAGTGTTAACTTAGATCACATGAGAAAGGTACTGGGTTGCAAATCTCCATTTTGTGTGAGTTGGTCTTTGCTCTCTCCCTGGAAGCTGTTAGAGAGAAAGGTGTGCAATTGATTCTCTCCAGAAACGCAGCTTCAGAGTATAATACAGGCTGTGGGAGAGGCAGAGCTTTGTTTTCAGCTCTGGGTGAAGTAATTTCATGTTTCTAAGATGTTGGAACGCTCTGCCTCATGAGGAACGCTCTGCCTCATGAGACCAGAGCCCTGCAGGATCTGATTTCTTTCCGCAGGGCCTGTAAGACAGAGTTGTTCCGCCTGGCATTTGGCTTGGAGCCAATTAGATTCCCTCCCCCTCTTTCTTTTTCCTTTTTCCTTTCTCCTCCTGTGATGAGGCTATATTTTAATATTTTAATGTTTCAATATCTTGTTTTTAAGTTGTATTCATTCAACTTGTTTTTATTATTGCTTGTTAGCCGCCCTGAGCCCGGCCTTGGCTGGGGAGGGCGGGGTATAAATAAAAATTATTATTATTATTATTATTATTATTATTATTATTATTATTATTATTATATTCAGAGTCACATGGCTAGGCAAAACGTATTTAAAAGGAAGGAGAGAAAGAAAGCTAAGATTTGTAGACAGCTCAATCCTGCCCGCCATGTCGGTGCCCCGTTTATTCTGGGTTCATAGCAAAGTCCTACCTTTTCGCTCCTGTGCAGACCATTTTGCCGGAACTAAATATGAGGGCTGTTGTCCTGGGTTCTCGAATTCGCATGATCACAGCAGCAAACCTCTAAAGTTCAGGAAAAAAACCACTTTGTGAATCTGTTTTAGACAAGTGCCTCTGGCAGTATCTTATGAAATACAGAGATTTGACCCGACAGGTGCACTCTGCGCATGCTCATCCTTCTCATTTCTGAGGCTCTTGCAATGGAGGAATCTTCAAGACCTGTTTTCCACAAGCCCTTTCTATTATTACATTTATATGCCACCTGTTCTAGCAAGGAGTTCAAGGCTGTGTACAAGGTCGTCCTCCTCCCCAGTTCATCGTCACAACATACCTGTGAGGTTGGCTAGGCTGAGAGATAGTGACTGGCTCAAGGTCACCCAATGAGCTTCATGGCTGGGTGGGGATTCGAACCGTGGTCTATCAAAGTCATAGTTCAACATTCTAGAATTGTAGAATTGGATGAGACCACGACGGTCATGTACTCCAACCTTCTGCAATGCAGCAATCTTTTGCCCAACGTGGGGTTCGAACTCATAACCCTGAGCTGAGTCTCATGCTCTACCGACTGAGCTACCCCAGCACCTCCATCTCTAGAGTCCACCAAGTCTGAGCCCAACCAGAATCTCAAAGGGGAACAATTTCTCAGAGGCATGGCACCAAACAGCTTCTGTGGGGCTTACCTTTGGGTTGAATTCTGCATTCCTAGCTTGAAGGGCGATGTTCTTGAGGTCCAGTTTACAAGCCAAGTTTACAGTGGCCACTATATTCCTAGGAGAACAAGGGAGAAACATTGCACATTTAGGATTTCATTTACGAGGGGATGCAACAGATTGACAAAGGTGCCTTTAGTGCTTAGAAGTGGCGTGGATAAGTTCATGGGATGCATCACAGCAAATCTGCCATTCTTTTCAGTACTGAGCCATAAATTGAATGTCCATCATACTCCTCCTCCTCTTCCTCCTCCTCTTCTTATTTCTAGATGGAATTGGTTCAGGGAAATCAACCAACATCTGTTGGGATTGCATAAATTTGACCTTGCTAGTTTGGGAACAATCACACGATACAGTGGTACCTCGGTTTAAGAACAGTCTGGTTTAAGAACGATTCAGTTTACAAACTCTGCAAAACCGGAAATAGTGTCTTGATTTGAGAACTTTACCTCAGTCTAAGAACAGAAGCTGAATGGTGGATGGGGAACTGGCAGCAGGAGGCCTCATTAGGGAAAGCGCACTTTGGTTTAAGAACGGTTTTGGTTTAAGAACGGACTTCCAGAACGGATTAAGTTCGTAAACCGAGGTACCACTGTACATTCAAAGCACGTCCAACGCACATTTTAAACATAGTACAGTACCTGAGAGTTAAAGATAAGCAAACAAGAGCGAAGAGAATGTGTTGCCATTGCTTAGCAACCTGGAGGTAGGCTCCCACTTACGCAGGGAGAAGGCCCCCAAGTGGCTAGCAGCAGTAGTAGTAGTAGTAATACCCTGCCTTTTCCCCTGAAAAAGGTGGCTTCAGATAAAAATAAGAACAACCAAAAACATAGAAAAATAACAATTAAAAAAACAATTAATGATTTGCTGGATAAGTAAAGGACCCTGCATTAGGTCCGCATGACCTGGGTTCCATTATTTAATTCGGTTGTACATGACTAATAGCACACGGAAACGGTTTATAAGCAATTTTAAACCCACCAAGCGGGCACAATGGGGTGTTTTGACTTTGATCAGCAATCCTAGACGTCCAACATCCAGAACTGTTGATTTTGTATTAATACCTATAAGTTTAAACCAGGGGCACGTAAACTGTTGTTTGACCAACAAGTTTGTGGTAAGCTTCGTCGTGTTTAAGTTAACTCCACCCCTTAAAAGCTGAGCCATTTGTTGTTTGCTGTTCTCTCCAGACGAGATGTCTGCTATTTCTCTCCTATCTCCACTCATCCCGTAAACAGTTCCTGCATAAATAAAGCCTTTGAACTCTACAAATTACAAGAGTGACTTTCAATCTAAGTCACCCAAGCTTCAAGGCGTTCTAACAGGAATGAACCTACTGCAACTGTGGGACGATGCCAGAAGAACCTTCTGAAGCAGAGGCCATGGGGGTCATCAGGTTCATGGGAAGACAGGTCCCAGAGGCATCGGGCATCCCAGAAGAATCGGGCGATGGTTGAGTTGCGTTTTCATCCCTCTCTCGGGACAGGCCATTACCATTCAGGAAGATACCACTGTCTTGCGATCCTGACTGAGAGCCGTGCTGCTCTCCCAATGCCATTGCACGGCCCTCATATTTGTTATCCGGGCTTAAATAGTCAGGCAGGAAGCTGAGGTCAATCGAGAAGTTGTGGGTCTGGTCAGGCGGAGAATGGAACGATGCCCCCTGGTAGGAGGAAGGAGGCAAGTCTGCCGCAAAGGGGCTCATGGGAGCAGAAACGTGCGGGCTGGACGGTGGAAAGTTATCCTATCACAACATGGGAGAGAGAAAAAACAGTCATCACACTTCTGCGTTAATAGGACATAAGAAGAGGCTGCTGGACCCATCTAGTCCAGCATCCTGTTCTCACAGTGGCTTGCCTGTGGGAAACCAGCAGGCAGGATTCAAACACAAGAGCATCTCTCCACTTCTGTGGGTTCCAGCAACTGGGATTCAGAAGCTTTGCTGCAACTGTGGAGGCAGAGCCGAGCCATTGTGACTAGCAGTTGCCAAAAGCCCTTCGCTATAGGTAAAGGGTAAAGGGACCCCTGACCATTAGGTCCAGTCGTGACCGACTCTGGGGTTGCGGTGCTCATCTCGCTTTAATGGCCGAGGGAGCCGGCGTACAGCTTCCAGGTCATGTGGCCAGCATGACTAAGCCGCTTCTGGAGAACCAGAGCAGCGCACGGAAACGCCGTTTACCTTCCCGCTGGAGTGGTACCTATTTATCTACTTGCACTTTGACGTGCTTTCGAACTGCTAGGTTGACAGGAGCAGGGATCAAGCAACGGGAGCTCACCCCGTCGCGGGGATTCGAACCGCTGACCTTCTGATCAGCAAGCCCTAGGCTCTGTGGTTTAACCCACAGCGCCACCCGCGTCCCGCCCTTCGCTATAAATTGGTCCAATTCTCTTTCAGGGCCATCTAGATTGGCATCCATCACTGCCTCTTGTGGCAATGAGTTCCATAGTTTAACTGTGCATTGCACGTTTTCTTTGATCTGTCCTGAATTTCCCCACCATTCAGCTTCACTTGAGGTCCATGGGTTCTAGTGGAGCAGGGGAAACCTTTCCTCTACGCCAGATCCCCCCAAAATAATACGTTCAAAATACTCTGCACCAACAGAGGACCACAATTCGAGCAAAGCCATGGCTTTTTCCTCACAGGGCCATGTTACTGGATAGAACCCACTGTTGGTGGATCTCAGCCAAACCTCTCTGCTACCGGCTGCTTAGTCCGTGTCGTCCAGGATGACAACTCAGGAACATAACTTGCCAAACAGTAACTTGATTTGTATTTGCTTTTATTATATGCAGAGTATAGCACAGCTTTGTACAAGTTACTGTATGCACAGACTCGATTCTTACTCTACACACCAACCTCTGAACTCTGTGATAGGAATTTTGAGGTCTTAGATATATGGTAATGTTCATAGGCGTACATAACCAAGCACGTACATAGATCAGCACAGGAAGACCGACCTGGAACCATTTTGACTCCTAAACTGAGCAAATGTTTTCTCTGCAAGGTCAAAGTGGGAAACCTCCCCATTGTCTCTTTCCTCACAAATCCTGTCTTAAGGGCACATTTAAGATATGAATAGGGTGTGAGCCTGTGACCTGGCCCAGGCAATCCAATCAAGTAAGCAGGGTATCCAATCAAGTAACCTGCCAGACAGGAAATAAACAACGACAGGAGAAAAACAACATTTAAATTTCTGTTTAGACCGCCTTTTCTGTGATGTAGGTATGATGTATCTGAGGGGTGGTCTTAGGTTGCACCCCTTCTGTGATGTATGTATGATGTTTCTGGGGGTGGTCTTGATCTACAGGGGGGCAATTTCAAAAGTCTTTATAAGGCCTTGCACGCCATTTTTCGGGGTTCCTCCTCTCCTGTGGGTGAGGGGATCACCCTGTTGCAACAGATCAGTAAAGATCAGGCTTACTAGCTGCTTTGCTTCTCAATCTTCTCTGGCTGGCCTCTGTTATTCTCTCCTACCAATAGGGAACCTATGTAAGGACTCTATATGGGCTCTTGGATACCCCATAAGGGAAGAGGGCAATTTTTGTTTACAACTCCAACACCAAACTACTGTGTCATGCTGCTTATAAGGGAAAACTTTTAGCCAATCACCACCTGTTGCTAGCATAGCTGTCAACGTTTCCCTTTTTTAAGGGAAATTCCCTTATTCCGAATAGGATTTCCTTTAAAAAAAGGGAAAAGTTGATAGCTATGGTTGCTAGGCTTCCCTGTCTCCAAGCAGACTTCCTCACTTACTCTGGCTTCACTTGGCTTCTTGCCAACTCACGAATTGTCCGCTTCAAAGCTGCTGTTTCTCACAAACCTCAACACCCACAGCTACTGGGCATGTATTCAGATTCTGGGCATTTATTCCGATTTGATTGCGGGGAGGTTAGATGGTGTTGTGTCAAAGCAAGCGCTATCCCACACATTCCGGCACACTTTCCCTTCTTAGAACGTCCACCAAGACTCAGACTCAGCTCGCTATCTGCAATTTGGGAATACGGTAATTGGATTTGCCCACCTTACTTAGCCATGTTCATGGCTCAGTGGTGCAGCACATAATTTGAATGCCAAAGGTCCCAGGTCCAATCCCTGATGGATGACTGGGGCATACTCTTTCATCATCATCATCATCATCATCATCATTATTATTTATTGCAAAACATACAACACAAACAGAAAAAAAACAGTACCGCAATGTCAACATTAATTGGCTACACATCACCTAACATCACACATATTTTTGACTTCCGAATAACCTCATTGTGCTTTCTGAATATTCTTAACCTATATGCACTTCCTATTATATCTATTACATCTCAGGAACAATTTTTTACATTTATAATTCTCTTTAATATTCAAGACTCAATCTATACCTGTCAGGAGAATTGCATTTTCACAGTATTGTTTTAAATATTCTTTCAATATTGTCCATTCTTTGCTCACATTTGAGTGTCCTCTTATTCTCCCAGCTATTTTCGCAAGTTCCAGGTGTTCTATCATCTTCACCTGCCAGTCAAGCTTTGTAGGAATTAAGTCACCTTTCCAATTTTTTGCTACCAGAGTTCTGGCCGCCGTGGTTGCATACATAAAGATTGTTCTAAAGTTTTTTTGTATTTCAGTGGACATAATGCTCAACAGAAAGCCTTCTGGGTTTGTTTGTTTTTGTTGTTTTTTGAAAGGAGAATTTAAAGATCTTTTTACGTTCGTTGTATATTGTTTCCCAAAATTCTCGTATCCTCACAGATCCCACCTGGGACTGGGACAAACTCCTGACTTAAACCCTGCTACCTTCTGGGCCACATGAACCAATAGGCTGAATCAATATAAGGTATTATTCCTAGTTTCCTAAATGCTAAGCAATAGGAGCAGAACAGAAATAATATGATCAGAATCAATCAAAATAAATGTGGAAACAGCAAACTTGCTCAACTTGTTCCAATAGCGTGACTGGGAGTTTTGCTAGTTCCACAGTAAAAAGCGGATAGCCACCTTTTACTAAGGCCTGCAGGTATTTCTTGACTCTCTGGCAATACTAGCAGGAAAAACAGTTGCCCTTTCAAAATGGATTAAGCCCCAGTATCCTTCATTTTACCTGGCCTGTACACTGGTCCAGGTAGTTTTCCAGGGATAAATCCTCATCCATGCTTGGTTTCCCTATTCCACAGAAGAGCAGGTCAACAGTTTCCAGTTATAGTATCGATGCAGAAAGAAGCTGGAAACTGCTGTAGCAACCTAGAGATCATCTCTCCAGCTGGTGATGTTGGGAGTAAATGACTACAGGTGAGTTGAATTAAGAAATCCCCTTAATTGGAGAAAAGGGAATCAGGTGGTCTGAGGAAACCTGAGCAGCTATTCACTGGGAGATTTCTCCTGACTGCTCTCTAGATCTGTTGGTATATACAGGAAAATCTCACAGGCTTACCCAAGCAAAGCTGTGCTGGTCATACTATAACACCTGACTTCCATTTGACGGTGTGCAACAAGAACTTGAGTCATACAAAGGCTTCGAAATTAAACTGGCTTCAAATGGCGCAACGTTCCCCAGTGTAGCCTGGGAATTGTAGTTCAATGAGCCCCTTTACATCACTGCAACAACCTCCAGCGTTTCTCCATGGGGAGCCAAATAGTTAAAACAGGCATGGAAATAGCTTGTCTGTGAAAAAACGTGTCTGCTCAGAGGCTGGTTCATGGGCATTTGCTAATGCGGTTGTGTATAAAAGCATGCATCTCGGCACATGCATGTTCATGTACGCTACTACAGCAGCAAAAATGTTAATTGCCTCCAAAGTGGAAAGAAGCAGAAGTCCCAGCAAAGGAAGAATGGATACAAAAACTTATGGAATATGCAGAAATGGCGAAATTTGCTGGAAGAGTAAGAAATCAAGATACAGCGGTACCTCAGGTTACATACGCTTCAGGTTACATACGCTTCAGGTTACAGACTCCGCTAACCCAGAAATAGTACCTCGGGTTAAGAACTTTGCTTCAGGAGGAGAACAGAAATCGCGCGGCGGGAGTGGGAGGCCCCATTAGCTAAAGTGGTGCTTCAGGTTAAGAACAGTTTCCGGTTAAGTACAGACCTCCGGAACGAATTAAGTACTTAACCCGAGGTACCACTGAAACAGTTTTTTAAATAAAAGAATGGAAATGGTTGGTTGAATATTTCCAGATAAAATGGTTGTAAAATTAGTGAAATGTATAAAATCAGTGAAATGTATGAAGTCGAAAAGTATACGGTAAATAAAAAAAATATTTTAAAAAAGCATGCATCTCAGCGGCAGGATCATTTTGGACATGGCCTGCTGGAGAACAAGGAGAGGCTTTGTCTTGGGTCACATCCACACCAGAAACAGGCAGCCCTGTTTAGGGAAAGTTTTTAGTATTTGATGAATTATTGTATTTTAATCTTTTGTTGGAAGCCACCCAGAGTGGGTGGGGTATAAAAAATAAATTATTATTATTATTATTATTTTCAAGAACATGGCTCTTCCCCAAGTGCTGGGAGCTGTAGTTCACACCCCTCACTGAGCTACAATTCCCAGCACCCTTCACAAACTAGTTCCCAGCCCTGTGCTTTGGGTGTATGGTACGGATTGCCTGCTTTTCCTCTGGAGATCTTTGAAGGTGATGAAGATAGCCAGCTAAAGCTGCGGTACCAGTTGGAAGATTGATCATCTCCCAGATCACTTCAATGGAAGGAAAAGAGCTTAGGAAGACACCCACAAAGCATTAAACATGTGGCATGTCAGGTTAGCAGAACCCAAGCGCAGAAGTCGAGTCTCCTTTTCAGCACGGTGCAGGCTGAATAGAAACATCTTGGGATTTGTTGGGGTTAAATGTGTTCAAAAGTAACAGACCATCAAGCTGGACTTCCATTTTAATCTGTGGTGGAGAACGTAGGAAGGTACCTTCCACCGAGTTACAACCATAGGCACATGGTCACCTTCTCACCAAGCTGCTTGGCAATAGTCTTGTAGCCCAGTCCAGCCTTGTGCAGATCTACAGTCTTGTCCCTGACATCCTTGGACAGCTCTTTGGTCTTGGTCATGGTGGCTACTTTGGAATCTGCTGGATTGATTGCTTCTGTCGACAGGTGTCTTTTGTACAGGTACTGTTAACTAGCTGGGATTACAGGTAAGGCCTCTCCCTTACAGCAGGTGCTTCTAATCTCAGCTTGGAACTTGCTGCCAAGGAGTGTGGTGGAGTCTCCTTCTTTGGAGGTCTTTAAGCAGAGGCTTGACAACCATATGTCAGGAGTGCTCTGATGGTGTTTCCTGCTTGGCAGGGGGTTGGACTCGATGGCCCTTGTGGTCTCTTCCAACTCTATGATTCTATGATTTGTTACATACAGTGAAGATACCAGGTAGCCTGACATCTGGCTGGTCGATAGGGGATCAAATACTTATTTCACTCATTATAATGCACATCAATCTCTGACTTTTGTCTTCTGGGTTTCTGGGGTTTTTTCCTGTTATTATTCTGTCTCTTTTGTGTGCATGCACACTTCTTCAGAACAAACTTAGTTGGTCTCTAAGGTGCTACTGGACAATTTTCTAATTATTTTTATTTATTCAAACTCTTGGACTACACCGAAACGGCAAAATTGACCAGAAAGCTCAGGAACCACGAAGACCAAAACTTCAATAAAGAATGGGAAAAATTTATAATTTATTTTGAAGACCAAGCAGATGAAAACATTAGCAGAATTGCAGGAACACTTGTAATGTAGCAAGTACTATGGAGATAATGGAGTTATATAAAATATGGACTATTGAAAAAATATGCAGTAGAACAGGTTAAAAATAGGACCGATGGAGGGGAAGGTGAGAAGTCCAGAGATTTGGAGAAATCTCTAAATGTGGATGTGCTGTATATGGTTGTATTGTTATAATTTTATACTTGTAAAATCAAATAAAAATAATTTTTAAAGAAAATTTGCACATGCTAATTTATACATAGGTGCATATATGGAAATAAGTTATGATATACGCAGAAACACATCTCACCCTAGCCAGGAAGACGGCGATGTGTGATGTGTGTGTCTGCTCAATCTGTTGTCTAGGTGCTCACTGTTGATGGGCAATTTCCAAGGTTCCTGCCCTATTCCCTTATTCTTTATATTTAAACTATTCTTTATCTTTGAACTGGACTTTGACCAGAGCTTCCTTTGAGCAGAGGATGCCTTCAAATCAAGGATTTCCATCTGTAAAGTAGGGCACATGGCTAACCCAACTTAGCAAGAAAAGGATGGTTTACAAGGGCCCTAAGGAAGTCAGATTATCCTCCACCAGGGCCAGGGTCTTCTCAGTGATGGCTCCGACCTGGTGGAATGCTCTGTCCGATGAGACCAGGGCCCTGCAGGATTTAACTTCCTTCCACAGGGCCTGTAAGACAGAAGCTATTCCGCCTGGCCTTTAATTTGAATTCAACCTGATCTTTTATTTCCCTTCCCTCCCCTCCCCCTCCCCTTTTATGAAGATCACCCGCTCCGAGACCCCACAGCTAATTCTCCCCGGCCTCCTCGCTGGCCCAAGTAGGACCAATTCAGCCAGCTAGCCCTGGGGATTATCTGATTTTTGAATTTTATTGTTTTATTGAATTTTATTTATTTATTTATTTATTGTTTTATTGAATTTTATTGTTATTCATGTTTTTATACTGTATTTTATGCTGCTTTTATAATTGTTTTAAAGTGTTTTAAATTTGTTGTTAGCCACCCTGAGCCCGGTTTTTTAACCAGGAAGGACGGGGTATAAATAAAAATTTATTATTATTATTATTACAACAATGGTTGCCTCAATCCAAAAGATCCCACCTCAGGTAACTCTGAGGCGACTGTCAGCAGGCAGAGATCACTATGAGGGACTTTGGTAGTGAGCAAGTGAAAAAGACAGTACAGTTTGGTATAAAGAAAGTGTTTTCTGGTACCTTAAAGACTAACAAATGTACTATGGTATAAGCTTTTGAGGACTCAAGGCCATTTCATCCGATACAGAGGTGTAAGATTTCACTTCAAGCCTTTGGCAAAGTAGGCCTGAGAACATGAAAAAGACTCAAAAAGGGGGAAAACCTCCAGAGTGGTAGAAGTGTTAATCTGTGCCGGAAAAGCAAAGTCTTGTAGCATCTTTAACCAATTTATTATGGTGTAAGCTTTGGGAAACAAGAGTCAGCGGCACGAAAGCTTACTCCAGGAGGATGGGTGGAGAAAACACACATGCACAAATACTGATAAATTGCACATTTTAATGAACTACTGTGAAATAAAACGTTACATTGAGTTTGGCAGAGAACACTGGAAGTGCGTTTTCAGGTTCTGACATGTTTTAGAATGCTTTAAATAACAGCAAAGGTTGAAAGCTCAGGCCCTTGTAACGACTGTACATATAAATAAACATTATCATTGGGGTATCATCTTAAGTTGGGGGAGCAGAAGTGGCTGATAGCTTGTCTACCGCTCTAGAATTGGACGCTGGCTGGCTTGCTTAAATGTGTGCTTCCAGCTCCATCACAGTCCATCCTCAGGAGAAGGGAAGAAGGGAGGGAGGGAGGGAGGGAGGAAGGGAGGGTGGGAGGGAGGGAGGGAGGGAGGGAGGGAGGAAGGAAGGAAGGAAGGAAGGAAGGAAGGAAGGAAGGAAGGAAGGAAGTGCCGCAATGCAAACAAGACCCGTGTCTCAGCCAGACTCCTACTTCTCTGTGGAAAAGGCCCTTTTCATCAGGGGCGGGGGCGTTTTCCCAACATCAAACATCATTTCCAATGGAGGATTATTGAGGCAGCACCAGTCAGGGATGCGGCCTGTCTGGTTGTAGTATTCTTTCGACACGGAACGACTGCCCAGGATGTCTTGGAGGGCTCCAAAGATTGCTCCTGTAACACGGAACAGAAAGCAGGAATTAGAGACTCTTGGGACAAGAAGCATTTGTTTCATTGGGCTTCATTCGAACTTGGGCAATGCAGCACCTCTGGATCGATCTTCGTATGGACTCAGGGCTGGAGTTGTTGCTGTTAATAATAATTAAATTTATATACCACCCTGTACCCGGAGGTCTCAGGGGTCTCACATAAAAGATAACAATACGTAAAAACAATAACCCAATAATACCCCCTCCCCCAAAACAGAGCTGCATTTTAAAAGGGTACAGAAAGTCGATCAGGTCAGTCAAAGGCCTGGTTAAAAAGGAACGTATTTGCCTGGCACCTAAAGGTGTATAACAGGGGTCAGCAAACTTATTCAGCAGGGGGCCAGTCCACAGTCCCTCAGACCTTGTGGGGGGCCGGACTATCTATCTATCTATCTATCTATCTATCTATCTATCTATCTATCTATCTATCTATCTATCATCTATCATCTTAAAAAAGAACGAATTCCTGTGCCCCACAAATAACCCAGGGATGCATTTTAAATAAAAGCACACATTCTACTCATGTAAAAACACGCTGATTCCCAGACCGTCCACGGGCCGGATTTAGAAGGTGATTGGGCCAGATCCGGCCTCTGGGCCTTAGTTTGCCTACCCATGGTGTATAATGAAGGCGCCAGGCAGACTTCCCTGGGGAGAGCATTCCACAGATGGGGAGCCACTGCAGAGGAGGCCCCGTTCTTGAGTTGCGAGCCCCTCAAAGAATCCCAACGTTAACTCGCAGATGTCTCAGACTTACCTCCTAACCAGGCCACGCAGTTGGGCTTGGCTGGTGGCGTGTGCACTCGGAAGGTCTTGGATGCCAGCGTCTCCTTATACTTGGGCTTCTCCACCAGGTGCCTGATCTCTGCCATTAATCTGTGCAGGAATCCTGGCAACATGGCGGTGCCGCCAATCACCAGCAAGTTCTCAGCCAGCTGCTTCCTGGTGTCTATCGGGCACTGGCAGAGAAAGGGAGGAGAGAAAATGATTCACTCGGGCCACGGGCTCAACAAGGGCTGGTGTGCAGCTTGCAGATTCACCACAATGTCCCTGTGTGTGTAGCGATATAGTGATCTGGGGTGGGGGGTGGGGAAAGTGGGCAGCAGATGGCAGGGAGTGGAGCAGATCAAACAGAGGATTGGCAGACAACATGACTGATACTGTGTGGCTGCCAGGAGGTTCGCTGTAGCTTTGCTAAGGAAGCTTATCTTCTGAACTTCCGGCGGAGCCGTGGCCATGAAAAGAAGCGCGAGATAACCCTCTGGGGGGTCTTGAGTAGTGTGGGGGTTATTTGAGAGGTTTCGCGAAGGCTACGCGGACCTTGGAACTTCAGGAAGAGATCCTGAGGGACGTGGTACCCAATGGTGCCCAGAAGTGCTCTCTTGCTCCCCGGGTCTTAATAATAGACTTGGGGACGGGATTGAGCTGCGGGCACGAAGGGGGAGCAGCTTCAAAGCCACACCATGAAGTCTCAGGCTTCTTATGAAAGTGGCCAGCTTCCAAAATTAATAACGAATTCGGATTTATAACTGGTGGAGCTAATCTGAGCATTGCTTTAAAACTCTGAACTCTTTAAGATTCGGCGAGTTACGGGGCGCAAAAAGGGAGTCCATCCCGGCAACTGGGAGAAAAGGGCGCACAATGGAAGGTTGGAGGAAGCTTATCTTCTGCTCCTGGACAGAAGGGCCAGCTAGTTTGCAGGGTGAGTGCGCTCTATATGGTGGGGGTGGGAGATTCATCACTGACAGAGTGGGAGGAACCAGGAGAAGCAAAATGCCAACCGTAGTACCTCAACCAGTGAATCCAGGATCAAAGTGGCCACAGATTTTTCTTCGTTGTCCTGCTCAAAGAGTATTTCGACGACAGAATCCCTGTTGGAAAGAAGCAAACGGAGGCTTTGAGTAATCCAGACTTAGAACAAGGGATCAGAAGACACTACTCAACTCCTCCCAGCTGAAGGGACCCGAAGGGACAAAATTGACATTAGGACACTCCCAAGGGCCAAAGTTTGTTGCTCCTTCTGTTTGGCTATGCGGGTTTACAAGGCTGCCGGCTGAGCCGTCAGGGATGACAATGTTTTGGATAGCGGCCGCCACATTTGCACAGCAAGTCAAAAGAGAGCGGCGTTTTTCTATCTCTCTCTCGTACTACTAGAACACAGGATAAAACTACCGTATTTTTCACTCCGTAAGGCGCACCGGACCATAAGGCGCACCTAGTTTTTAGAGGGGGAAATCAAGGGAATTTTATTTTTTTATCTAACCTAATTGCTCCATTCACGTGCAAAATCTTCTCTCCGTCCAACGGATAGTCCACGTCTGGAGGTGGAGTGGGGCGCTGCAATACAAGAGAGGCTGTCAGAAGGCAAAAAGCGAAAGAGAAGGCAATCAAGTTCATTCTTATTGAATGGGGAAATCCAGCTCCTTCCTCACATACCTCAGCGCTGCCGTCGAGGTTGAATTTCGCCGCCTGGATTTTCAGCCCCCGCTGGAGGTCGCTCACGAAACAGGTGCGAACTTTGGAGATGAGCAGAAATGGTTTCAGAACTGTTCTCAGCCTAACAGTCTATACCAGTGGCTCTCAACCTGTGGTTCCTCACTTGTTGGACTACAACTCCCATCATCCCTGAGCTCTGGCCTTGCTAGCAAAGGATGATGGGAGTTGTAGTCCTACAACATCTGGGGACCCACAGGTTGAGATCCGCTGGTCTATACAGTCCTTTTAATGGGCGCACGGATGGGAGGTTGCCTGCTCTTGACATGTCGCTTGAGGCCCAGGTGGCCTCACTGTTGCAATGTGCCTTCCATCAGCTTTGACGGGTGGCCCAGCTGCGCTCCTATCTGGAGAGGTATAGCTTAACTTCTGTTGTCTATGCTCTGTATCCTCTAGGCTGGATTACTGCAATGCATTTATATGTGGGGCTGCCTCTGAAGACTGTTCAGAAACTTCAGCTAGCGCAGAATTCAGCGGTCAGGTTACTCACCGGAGCAGGCCGGTTTGAGCATATTACACTGATCAGGGTGGAAAAAACCAATGATTATATATATATATATTATATATTAGTGATGTATGGAAGTGAGAGCTGGACCATAAAGAAGGCTGATCGCCGAAGAATTGATGCTTTTGAATTATGGTGCTGGAGAAGACTCTTGAGAGTCCCATGGACTGCAAGGAGATCAAACGCATCCATTCTGAAGGAAATCAGCCCTGAGTGCTCACTGGAAGGACAGATCGTGAAGCTGAGGCTCCAGTACTTTGGCCACCTCATGAGAAGAGGAGACTCCCTGGAGAAGACACTGATGCTGGGAAAGATGGAGGGCACAAGGAGAAGGGGGCGACAGAGGACGAGATGGTTGGATAGTGTTTTCGAGGTTACCAGCATGAGTTTGACCAAACTGCGGGAAGTAGTGGAGGACAGAGGTGCCTGGCGTGTTCTGGTCCATGGGGTCACGAAGAGTCGGACACGACTAAACGACTAAACAACAACATATATATGGGATTTTTTTGATTTAAATTGGATTTTTTAAAATTTAAATTGGATTTTTAAAATTTAAATTGGATTTTTAAAATAAAATGCTTTTGCAGGGAAAATCATTCTAAAGATAGTTTTTCTATTTAAGTTACATTATAGTCCAAAGGCTATTCATCAGGAAATAAGGATTTGTTTTAAGTTTTTTATGTGTGCTAAAACTCAGTTGTTGTTTTTTTTTAATTGTTTAACCACATCAGTTAACAAACATGGATGCATATGCTATAATGTTATCGTTTTAGTTAAATAAATTATTTAAATAGTTATTAAGGAAATGTTTATTTTTCTCCTTCCAATAAAGTACAGCAGAAAAACTGTCCAAATACAGTTAACTTATTAAACCTCACAATAATTTCATAATTATCTGTCAATGCATTTCTAATAGTATAACCAAATCAGTAATTTTTGGTATGACTGCAAATACTACTCTGAAAAATTATTATTCCAAAAATGAAACCTTTATCTCGTTGTAAATATTAAGATTATACCAGCAAGAATGAGGCAATCTATTAAAATCAAGGCAATCCATTTTAGGAATGGTTTGCTCCCTCCACTGAAATGGAAGGTGGAAATTGCCTTGCGAAGTTTACAAATCTGCGCTCCCTTTCCTGGGAATAAGTCCCACTGAACTCAACCTTTCTCCAATCTATTTCATAGCTCTAAAGATGGCGATTTCTGGATGAAAGGAAAGCGAAGATTTGTATGAAGGCAGCCATCTTACCTTTGATGTCTTCTACAATGTCTTCTGGAACAGAACCTAAAATACAGGATTATGATGATGATTATTATACCCCACCCTTTTTCCTTACAGGGACTCAAGGCGGCTTACAGATAAAATAGGTTTTGCTCAAACAGCATCAACAGAACTGTAAGCACCCAAAGACAGAATGCACTTAGAATTTAGTACAAATGAGCAGAAGAGTCCTTCAGAATAATCCAATTATTAAAAACACATACAGTGGTGCCTCGCAAGACGAAATTAATTCATTCCGCGAGTTTTGTCGTCTTGCGATTTTTTTCGTCTTGCGAAGCACGGTGTCGGGAAAGTTTTGGGAAAGCTTCAAAAATCACCAAAGTCTTTAAAAACCTCAAAAAAGGCTACCACACCGCGTGCTATGAGTTGCTCCTCGAAGTCAAGTCGCAACTGTATTAACGGTGTTAAGAAAAAGGAAACAAACTTGCAAGACGTTTCCGTCTTGCGAAGCAAGCCCATAGGGAAAATCGTCTTGCGAAGCAGCTCAAAAAAACAAAAAACCCTTTCGTCTAGCGATTTTTTTTGTCTTGCGAGGCATTCGTCTTGCGAGGTACCACTGTATTCTCTGCAGTAACAAGACAACTGCAGTGTGTGCAACTTTGCGCCTCATCCTGCAGACACCTGATAACACCCCCCCCCAATTATGCAACAGAGCAGGAAATATTGTCGCTGAATATTGTCCTCAGGCCCAGCTTGAGGTTTCCCAGAGGCAGCCATTGTAAGAAAAGGATTAGATGATCCTTTGGTCTGAAATAAGCAAGAGAAAAAGTCCAGAAGGGCTCTTTTATGTTTTCAACCAACATGCTCATGGTTGGAAACCAACAGATTCAGTAATGCATGTGGATCACTGCTTCTTAGGGGCAATAAAAATTTATGAACCATTTCTGACACTCGCTTTCCTAACTTGAAAAGGTTTGCTTTCTACTTTTCTTTTAGTAACAATAATCGGATGGGAGGTGGAAAATGAGCGAGGTCCCAACTAAAGAAGATTGGCAGCTTAAGCCGATGGAATATGCACAGATTGCAGACTTAACATATACAGGTGCGACTCGAAAAATTAGAATATTGTGGAAAAGTTCATTTATTTCAGTAATTCAACTTAAAAGGTGAAACTAATATATGAGATAGACTCACGACATGCAAAGCGAGATATGCTTCTACTTCTGAGAGGTCCAATATTGCTCTATTTGCAATCCTTGTTTTGCTGATTTCACTTAATATTCTAATTCTCTGAGATAGTTAATTTGGGGTTTTCATCAGCTGTACGCCATGATCATCACAATTATAACAAATAAAGGCTTGACATATCTCACTTTGCATGCTATGAGTCTATCTCATATATTAGTCTCACCTTTTAAGCTGAATTACTGAAATAAATGAACTTTTCCACAATATTCTAATTTTTTGAGTTTCACCTGTAGAATAAGAGAACAAGAAGAACACACGTTTAAAGAAGATTGTAAAATGTTTACTGTATATATGGAAAATAATTGTGTACAGATGAAAATGCTGGCAGCATTAAGATTAATTCAACAGTGTAAATAATTTTCGATGGACGTAATAATGGAAAATTGGTATGGTTTTTGTAAAATATGCAGGGATTTAAGATATGCAGTCTGAACCACGGAAACAGAAGGGAAGTCATTGATATTTCAAGTATGTAAAATGTTTATCTGAAATTGTAAAACAGAAAATTTAATAAAAACTATATTTTTAAAAAATCGAATGGGAGGAGAGGGGATTTAGCCCATTCTCCTCTGAACAGTTCCAATAAGCAACACCCGCCTCTCATTAATTGTAATAATAGTTACCCATCACCGAGGGAAGGCTCTGTCCTTTGGTGGTTCCTGTATCCACAGTGCTTTGCTCCAGCAGCTGGTACTCCAGTTCTCTAAAGGATTGCAAAAAAGGTGATTTAGCAAAAAAATAGCATTCAGACAAGACGATGCATACGCACAAAAAGCCATTTCCAACTTTCTGTTCCTTGTATTTATGAGATGCATAGTGGCTCACCGCCAGCAGGTGTTAACTATTCCACAAAGGCCTGCAAGGCAACTGGAGGATGCTCACACATTTCAGATGTCATGCTTGGAGGACTGGTGGAAAATCTTTCTCCTTATGAGCAGCAAAAAAAGCTAATGCTATTCTAGGCTGCATCAACAGAAGTCTAGCGTCCAGATCAAGGGAAGGAATAGTACTGCTCTGTTCTGCCTTGGTCAGACCACACCTGGAATACATGTGTCCAGTTCTGGGCGCCACAATTTAAGAAGGATGTTGACAAGCTGGAATGAGTGCAGAGGAGGGCAACCAAAATGCTAAAGGGCCTGGAAACCAAGCCTTATGAAGAACGGAAGGAGGAGTTGGGCAAGAGGAGACTGAGAGGAGATATGAGAGCCATCTACAAATATCTAAAGGGACGTCACGTGGAAGATGGAGGAAGCTTGTTTTCTCCTGTTCCAGTGGATTCAAATTACAAGAAAGGAGACTAAACATCAGGCAGAACTTTCTGACAGTAAGAGCTGCTTGGCAGTGGAATGGAAGGTTGTGGACTTTCCTTCTTTGGAGGTTTTTAAGCAGAGGCTGGCTGACTATCTGTCATGGATGCTTTAGTTCAGATTCCTGCATTGCAGGGGGTTGGACTAGATGACCCCCAAGGTCCCATCCAACTTTGCAAAAATATTTGCAGTCAACTTACTTGTGAATGGCTTTTCCTCCCAATGGTAGCGCCCCCCAGCAGTTCAGAACTGGAATTCCTTCATAGATCTGCAAGCAGCTAAGGATGTTTCATGAATAGTATTTATGATATACCAGGTACAAGAACCACATGAGCGCCATCTTTCTAACAGCTGCTTCCTTCTCCATACAATCAACTGACAAGTCAAATGGGCCAAAGAGGCAAGAAGACAAACTTATATTGTTTGGCTCCAAATACCGTAGCCTTGAGCTCTCCAAAAGCTTGAGAAATGTCTTTTGGGGGGCTGGAAGCAGTCCAGTGACACACTATCTTTTTGTTTTATTAGAAGGGAAGGTAGCCGTGTTGGTCTGCCGTAGTCGAAACAAAATAAAAAAATCCCTTCCAGTAGCACCTTAGAGACCAGCTAAGTTTGTTATTGGTATGAGCTTTCGTGGTCTTACAGGAAAAAGCAAGGGGTGAGATGGCTTTATCATGTATAATGAGATAAGAATCCAATGTCTCTATTCAGACCAGGTCTCTCCATGGTTTTAAGTTTGGTAATAAGTTGCAATTCAGCAACTTCTCTTTCCAGTCTACAGTGGTGCCTCGCAAGACGAACGCCTCGCAAAAAGAAAAACTCGCAAGACGAAAGAGTTTTCCGTTTTTGAGTCGTTCCACAAGACGAATTTCCCTTTGGGCTTGCTTCGCAAGAAGAAAGCCCATAGGGAAATCTCCGGGGACCTCTTTTAAAATGCTGGCGGTCGGGAGCAAAGACTTTTGCCCACCGCCGGCCTTCAGAAGAGGTCCTGGACCTCTTCTGAAGGCCGGCGGTGGGCAAAAGTCTTTGCTCCCCCCCGCCTGCCTTCCCGGGATAGCAGAGAAGCGCAGCGCATTTCTCCACTATCCCGACGGCTTTTGAAGGCTCCGCTGTCCCGGGGGCTTTTAAAATGCTGGCGGTCGGCAGCAAAGCCCTCCTGTCCCCGGAGCTTGCGGGGCGGGAGGTGGGGAGAAGGGCTTTTCTTCCCACCGCCAGCCTTCAGAACAGCCTTCTGAAGGCTGGCGGTGGGAAGAAAAGCCCTTGTCCCCCCACCCCCAGCCTTCAGAAGAGGTCGGGGGACAGACTGTCCCTGGACCTGGTCTGAAGGCGGTTTCCATAGGAACGCATTGATTGATTTTCAATGCATTCCTATGGGAAACTGTGCTTCGCAAGACGAAAAATTCGCAAGAAGAAAAAACTTGCGGAACGAATTAATTTCGTCTTGCGAGGCACCACTGTATTTCTGAGATTCTTTTGTAATAAGACAGTTACTTTGAGATCTTGTATAGAATGTTCTCCTATTTTTAGCCATCTCACCCATTGCTTTTTAATGTAAGCCCAACTGCAGTCGTTAACAGTCGTCAACAGGTTTACCACACCTATCAGCCAATCCCACCACCCTTCTGAGTAATACCCCTCCCCACCCTCTTCCTATATATAAGGGTCTGGTGACTTCTGTTTCAGTGTATCTGAAGAAGTGTGCATGCACACGAAAGCTCATTCCAATAACAAACTTAGTTGGTCTCTAAGGTGCTACCGGAAGGAATTTATTTATTTTGTTTCGACTATCTTTTTGTATTCACGATATGGAACGAGGGAGAATGTGAGACAGAAAGGAATGGAATTGTGATGAAAGCATGTTGCAGAAGCAAGTGTGACCTCATAAGGCCAGCATGGGTAAGAATCAAGGGTCTTCCGAAAGTTTGGCAAAGACAGACATGAGACAAGCAGGCCTCCTGCTGAGTAGGTTGACTGTGCGAGTTAAAAGCTGTCTTGATTAATGTTTTCCTCCTGAAGTAGTCACACCGGAGGGTAAAAAAAAAGATACGGGGAGCACCATGCTTTCTGTATAGCCACAATCCAAGACCATAGCAGAATTGATCCCAAGGGTCAGGAGAGACATCAGGTGGCCTGGGGCAAAGAGCACTGAAGGAACCTGGAAGGAACACAGAGGTGACAAGCTGAACACATTGCAAGAGAATTTAGAAGGTCTGGAAGCATCAAGCACCTGCCTTTCTGAGGCAACTGGTAGCTAAGGTTCAAAAGGATATGGGCTTATAAAACTCTAGAAATTTCTATACAGTGGCTGCTCGGGTTGCGAACGTGATCCGTGTGGGAAGCACGTTTGCAACCTACAGTGTTCGTAACCCGCAGCGCCGTGTGTGTGCACACACGGGTTGCGATTTGGCGCTTCTGCGCATGCGCAAGGACCAAAACCCAAAGTAACCAGTTCCGGTACTTCCGGGTTTGGCGTAGTGCACAACCTGAAATCGTGTGTAACCTGAGGTATGACTATAGTACCATATTTTACCATCTTGAGCTCTCATATTCAAATAACCATCATGCAGCGAGACAGGCTACTGCTCTTCCCTTTAGATGTATTTGAAAGAGAGAGCTAAGTCCCATCTGCATGACACATTTAAAGCAGCACCACTTTAGACAGCCATGGTTCCCCCCAAAGAATCATGGGGGCTGTAGTTTTCTATGGGAGCTGGGAGTTGTTAAGAGACCCCCATTTCCCGCACAGAGCCACAATTCCCAGAATTCCCTGGGAAGAGTGATTGTTAAATCACTATGGGAACTGCACCCATAGAAAACTACAGCTCCCAGGATTCTTTGGGGGAAGCCGCCAACATGTTTAAAGTGGTCGGATACTGGGTTGGACATATAGTGGGACCTTGAGAGTGTTTGTAGCCTGGGGCGCCTGGGGCACCAGGTTAGAGAAAGCTGCTCTTGTGATAAGCTGGCCTTTTGGACTGGTGGTGCCAGTGTTGTGGAATGCCTTCCCTGCTGAAATATGAGTGGCCCCCATCGGTATTGGCATTTTGGAAGACACAGCTGTTTAGACAAGCATTCTCCTGCTCTCTTGATCTGAAGATCCTGTTTTAACCACCATGCTGTTTCAATGGGCTTGCTGCATATTTTAACTATGGATATTCATTTTAATGTTTCAGTGAAATTGTGTCTTTTAATTACGTAGATGGGCTTTTTCAACACTGGCTCCGGCCTGGTGGAACGCTCTGCCTCATGAGACCAGGGCCCTGCAGGATCTGATTTCTTTCCGCAGGGCCTGTAAGACAGAGGCTGCATTTTAATGGTTCAATGTTTTAATGTTGTATTTTAATCTTGTTTTTAAGTTGTATTCATTCAACTTGTTTTTATTATTGCTTATTGCTTGTTAGCCGCCCTGAGCCCATCCTTGGTTGGGGAGGGCGGGGTATAAATAAAATATATGTTTATATTATTATTATATTAATATTTATAAACAATCATAATTCAGCACTCTTCTGCAGGTGCAAGGGCTCTGATATACACACAAATCTCCCCCTTGCTCACTAGAGCTTCCTCTGTCCTTTGACTAGCTCTGTGAACACCTGTCTGCCCTGCCTATTCAGGTCAGTATGGAAAACTTTGCGAGTGAGGATGCTCCATAAGGACCACTGGGGCAGATAGAGGGTTCTAGGCTGCACCACCCAGCAGGTGCATGTTGGAACTGAGAAGGCAGGTGTCCAGCACCTGGCCATCCTGCTAAACTCCATTTTTAAGGGGATTGCTTTGCAGGTGCTGCCGTGGAACTGAACCAGACCCAGGCTTTGGCCATTATTCAACGGTTAACACAGCAGCTACTGAAAAGCCCAGGTGAGCTCAGCAGCTGCTTTCCCCACCAGCAAGCCAAGAAACCTATGGATATTCATTTTAATGTTTCAGTGAAATTGTGTCTTTTAATTACGTAGATGGGCTTTTTCAACACTGGCTCCGGCCTGGTGGAACGCTCTGCCTCATGAGACCAGGGCCCTGCAGGATCTGATTTCTTTCCGCAGGGCCTGTAAGACAGAGGCTGCATTTTAATGGTTCAATGTTTTAATGTTGTATTTTAATCTTGTTTTTAAGTTGTATTCATTCAACTTGTTTTTATTATTGCTTATTGCTTGTTAGCCGCCCTGAGCCCATCCTTGGTTGGGGAGGGCGGGGTATAAATAAAATATATGTTTATATTATTATTATATTAATATTTATAAACAATCATAATTCAGCACTCTTCTGCAGGTGCAAGGGCTCTGATATACACACAAATCTCCCCCTTGCTCACTAGAGCTTCCTCTGTCCTTTGACTAGCTCTGTGAACACCTGTCTGCCCTGCCTATTCAGGTCAGTATGGAAAACTTTGCGAGTGAGGATGCTCCATAAGGACCACTGGGGCAGATAGAGGGTTCTAGGCTGCACCACCCAGCAGGTGCATGTTGGAACTGAGAAGGCAGGTGTCCAGCACCTGGCCATCCTGCTAAACTCCATTTTTAAGGGGATTGCTTTGCAGGTGCTGCCGTGGAACTGAACCAGACCCAGGCTTTGGCCATTATTCAACGGTTAATACAGCAGCTACTGAAAAGCCCCGGTGAGCTCAGCAGCTGCTTTCCCCACCAGCAAGCCAAGAAACCTAGACAAGTAGACAGGCAGCTGCAGCAGACGTCTGGAATGTATTACCTCAAAGTATTTGAACAAAACCCTTGTAAGCGTCTCTCTGAAATGGGAAGGGCAGAGTACAGACTCCACAATCACAACACGGCGGTCTCGGGGGTTTACCAGCAAGTGCCTGAAAAGTGAATGGATGAGACCAGAAAGCGGAATCAACAGCTGGCACCTCTTCTTGTAAAATAAATCACCCCTGGTCAAGACTTTGGTGATTTCCACAGTCACTCAACATATGCTGCAATCCATTGTAAAGCTATATGGGATTCAATCCCTTCGAACACAGTGGGACTCACTTCATTGTAGACAGGACTGCACAGCTAATTAACAAACCAATGGGAGCCAGAAATAATGTTGTATGGATGGGACTGGAATGGAATGGGAGAATGGGCAGAGCCACATGTTGGAACACTGCCTCATGGCACAGAAAAATATGAGGAGAGCCAGTCTTCCCTTACTTACAGGCAGGAAAACAGATTTTGTTGCTCTTTAAAGTTGCTATGACCTTTCTGAGACAGGACATTTTCCTCATTGTTTATGAAGAGCTTAATTCCAAAAGGTGCTTAAGTCAATTTTGACAAAAAACCAAATTTTGACCTGTAGATGTTTCCGTGAGTCCTACCAATACAAAGTAAAAAATCTTGTATAAATTTAGGGCCTATGTCATTATTAGCAAGCCTTGACAATCGTGTTTGCATTTAAAAAAGGCCCTAACCAGAAATAATTTTCTTCCAAATGGAATGCTGGTCAAAACTGACTCAAGCCCCTTTTGGAATTAAGCTCTTCATAAGGCATGGGCGGAGAAACTTTGGCTTGTGGGCCGAATAAGACCCAGCACTGGTCCCAATATGGCTTGCGAGGCAGTCGCCCCTACCCAAATCATGCCCACCTGCCCCACACCTTATATCATATGCAGCAATGCACAGATTTTGCCACGAAGGAACAATCAGGACTTCCAAATGAACTCCTGAAAGCTAGTTTACTAGCAGGACTTGCTGACTGATCGACTCTTGACAGTGAGCCAGATTTAGATTAGCTGCACTATGGAGTTTCTAGTAGGAAACTCCCTAGTGCTGTCGAGGTGGTTTGCTGCCTGGGTTTGCTGCCTGCAGGAGTCTGTTATTTTGTCTTCAGACACATTTTGGGTTCAAGTTGCATTGCAGATGGACATTTTTCTTCTAGAAACACTGTGGTTGTGATGTCAGGTGACTTGACAGGTGACTGGCTTGCAGGGGACGGGTGGGTCCAATATTATCCAGTTTCCAATTCCTGATACAAGGTTCCAGCCCATTCTGGCTTAGTTTAACGTACAAGCCAAAGCACAGAATTCCTGTGTCTTAGGCTACGTATGATTCAAAGAGTCCTGAAGGTCAGAATGGTCTTTGAGGTGCCTCTTACCTGTTTTACACAGACAATCTGAGCTCAACACTAAGAGCAGCCACCTCCCAATTCTGGGAGCCTCTTCACAGACGCAACACCAAATTATGTACAATTCAAATGCGGGTGTAGACTTTATAGTGCTTGATACAACCATTATGGCACTGTATTGCAACAGGATACCTAAGCAATTCATTTCCTAGTCAATCACTTATTAGAGGAAAAGTCATTACAGCGGCATCTCCTACCTGAAGTACAGCATGTGGATGAACTCCTTCAGGTACGAATATAATTCCTCTGTATTGATGTTGTATTGAACAACTTTGACAGGCTGTGAAAGAAGTCCATTTGAAACAGTTTTAACATTGTCATCACGCACACTGAATTGGCTTCAAAAATAACAACAGGTTTCTTTCTCGATAGTTGTAATGTAGTGGGAACCTAGTGAACTTTTTCCTGTGCAAGACCCCTATGCAAGCAGCCCAATACTGGTCTAGCTAACAAAGCTCCTCCTTCTCCTCAGTCTCTCTCTCATCTCCTAATCCAGTCTGCCTTGCTTAGGGTAAGATGCCATCCAATGTCACTACTGCCACCCGACAACTGGTGTTTAGCTAGGAGGATTATTCGCAAGACCCCAAAGAGCTTAAGCACATCCTTCAACCCCTTGTATTTATGGCTACAGCAGTTTAAGAGCACATGACTTGTCATCCTATCCTATGAGGAGGTCTCAGCAACTTACACAGAAATGCAGCATCACTTGTCCCAGTAATTATACAGATATTGATAGAGAAGGTATTACATCAGATAAATCTGTCGAACACAGGACTTATTTCAACTTATTTCAAAAATAAGGCCCAGCCATTTTTTATGTTTTATTTATTGTAGATGGATGATGGCGGGATGTTTTCGTTACTGAACTCAAGCAACCAAAACAACTAAATCTTGCTTCCCTGTCTTTCCTCCATTTCGTTCCCAGCGTTGAACTTCAGATTATAATCTTCTCAGGACACAATAACAATAATACTAAAGAAAAATTAACGTTAGCGTTATAGAAGTTGCCACAGATAAAATACCTTAAATGGATTTGCATTCAATAAGCTTTTAATATACAGCAAAAGTCAGCCGTTTAAACAAAAAAAAGGGGGGCCTACCTTTGAAATTCCAGGTTTCTTTATTTCGCTAGGGATAACACATCTTGGCCCTGTTTCGCCTGCAAAGCCACACCTGGAATTTTAAGATTGAATAGTAAATGTGTGTATTTCTATAAATATACCAACCCATTCCAAAGAACTTTGTCTGGATTGGCAACAGAAGAAAATGCTTTTAGCCAGCAACCCACAGTGTCTTTGGTAAAGGCAGCAGCACTGGGGTTTTTTTAATTTTGGAGAAAAGGCGAGTGAGAGGCAGCGTGATAGAAGTTCGTAAAATCACATTATGGTGTTTTGGAGAGCGAGCATGCGAACATACATACATGCATCAATTTATTTGTTGCTGTTTTTTAATAATAATAATTGAATTTATATACCACCCTATACCCGGAGGTCTCAGGGCGGTTCACAGAATAAAATCAAAATATAAAACCACAAAATACATAATCCAAATAAAAGCAACAGCCCAATAACCCCCTCCTTTACTTAGTGCCCTTTTTGATTCATTTGAATGAAAAGCGGCCTAGAAATAAACCAAAACCAAATTTCCAGGTCTGCGACATCCCTCCTGGAAGTAAATAGGAGCGAAAGGCAAAAATATGACGTCATCTTGCAAAAGGAGAGACGCCAACACATCACGTAGTTTTGTGTTTATACAGTGGTGCCCCGCAAGACGAACGCCTCGCAAGACGGAAAACCCGCTAGACGAAAGGGTTTTCCATTTTGGAGGCGCTTCGCAAAACGAATTTCCCTATGGGCTTCCTTCGCAAGACGAAAGCCCATAGGGAAATCTCCGGGACAGCGGGGAAGCGCAGCGCGTCTTCCCCACTGTCCTCGGACCTCCTCCGAAGGCTGGCGGTGGGGCGGAGAGACCTTCTCCCCGCGCCAGCCTTCGGAAGGCTGCTCCAAAGGTTGGCGGCAGGAGGAGGTCTCTCCGCCCCACCGCCAGGCTTCGGAAGGCTGCTCCGAAGGCTGGCGGCAGGAGGAGGTCTCTCCGCCCCAATGCCAGGCTTCGGAAGGCTGCTCCGAAGGCTGGCGGCGGGAGGGGGTCACTCCGCCCCACCGCCAGCCTTCGGAAGGCTCCTCCGAAGCCTGGCGGTGGGGCGGAGAGACCTCCTCCCGCCGCCAGCCTTCGGAAGGCTGCTCCGAAGCCTGGCGGTGGGGCGGAGAGACCTTCTCCCCGCGCCAGCCTTCGGAAGGCTCCTCCGAAGGCTGGCAGTGGGGCAGAGAGACCTTCTCCCCGCGCCAGCCTTCGGATGGCTGTCCTGAAGACTTGCGGTGGGAGGAGGGTTTTCCTTCCCACTGCCAACATTCAGAATGCTGTTCTGAATGTTGGCGGTGGGGAGGAAAAACCCTCCTCCCACTGCAAGCCCCGGGAACAGAGGAGAAGCGCTGCGCCCCTTCCCCTCTGTTCCCATACCTGTCCTGAAGGCTTGTGGTGGGGAGAAAAGCCCTTCTCCACACCGCCAGCCTGGCAAGCGGTTTCCATAGGAACGCATTAATTGATTTTCAATGCATTCCTATGGGAAACCGTGCTTCGCAAGACGAAAAACTCGCAAGAAGAAAAAACTTGCGGAACGAATTAATTTCGTCTTGCAAGGCACCACTGTATCTTGTTTTTTTATGCTGTGATCTGCCCTGAGATCTATGGATCAAGGGCGGTAGAAAATATTATTATTATTACAGTGATACCTTGGGTTAAGTATTTAATTCATTCCGGAGGTCCGTTCTTAATCTGAAACTGTTCTAAACCTGAAGCACCACTTTAGCTAATGGGGCCTCCTGCTGCCGCTGCGCCGCCACTGCATGATTTCTGTTCTCATCCTGAAGCAAAGTTCTTAACCTGAGGTACTATTTCTGGGTTAGCGGAGTCTGTAACCTGAAGCGTCTGTAACCCGAGGTACCACTGCACTGGGCTGAGGCCGTTTAGGGCTTTAAAGGGCTTTAAAGATGACATATGTTCTCCTTTCCCCAATACAGTGGTACCTGTTTAGAGGAGTCTGCAACCTGAAGCGTCTGTAACCCGAGGTACCACTGTGTTGTTATTATTATTAACGAGAGGGGGAGGAGAGGGCAATAACAACAACAACAACAACAACAACAACAAATAAGCGAGAGGGGGGCGGGGAGGGTCGGCGACGCCCAGAGGAAGAAGGAGGCCGGGGGGGGGGATAAATCGAGGGACGCCTCTCACTTGGTGAAGGCCGCGCCCAGGTCCATCACCACCGCGGTCTTCTCGCCGCCGCTCCCGAGGCCCTCGTAAAGCGGCATCGCGGCGGCTGCTCTCGGGACGACGACGAAGAAGAAGAGGAGGCAAAACCCCAAGAAAAGCCAGTTTGGGAAGAGAGAAGGGGGCTTTCTTCACCGGGTGGCGCGCTGAGCTGAATGGCTGACGGGCCGGGGGCCTTCCGGCGCAGCAGGCGCGTTTCAGGCTGCCCAACATGCCGCCTGATCCCGAGGGTTATTACGACGCCCTCGTTTCTTTCCGCACGTCTTCTCCTTAACTCCACAGAGTTGTTGTTGTTTGTCTGAAGAGCCACAAGCGCCCCTCGTTTCTCCTCGCCGCCCTTAGGTTCGGCAGGCAATGCGGAAGACACCCCACCGCCGTCGCTGGGCGAAGAGTTGAGGCTGGCGGAGGAAAAGGGAGAGTAAAGGGGGCGCAGTCTAACGAAGTGGAAGCCACATTTCCGGGTGTCGTTGGGATGCTCGATAGGAAATCTCCCACTTGGGGGTCAAGGCTGGTGGTGCATTCACACGAGCTAAGGGGGCTGCCGTTTTGAGATCCCTTCCACAAGGATGAAGAGTGGTCATGAAATATACTTTTGATGATAAATGATTGAAACTGCAAAAGAATAACAAAGCTAACCATTCCCTGACGTGTTTTTAGGGATGCTAACTACAACTGATTGATTCAAAAGTGGGAAAGGAGTAAGACAAGGTTGTATATTGTCTCCCTGCTTATTTAACATATATGCAGAATTCATCATGCAAAAGGCTGGGCTGGATGAATCCCAAGCCGGAATTAAGATTGCCGGAAGAAATATCAACAACCTCAGATATGCAGATGACACAACCTTGATGGCAGAAAGTGAGGAGGAATTAAAGAACCTTTTAATGAGGGTGAAAGAGGAGAGCGCAAAATATGGTCTGAAGCTCAACATCAAAAAAATGAAGATCGTGGCCACTGGTCCCATCACCTCCTGGCAAATAGAAGGGGAAGAAATGGAGGCAGTGAGAGATTTTACTTTCTTGGGCTCCATGATCACTGCAGATGGTGACAGCAGCCACAAAATTAAAAGACGCCTGCTCCTTGGGAGAAAAGCAATGACAAACCTAGACAGCATCTTAAAAAGCAGAGACATCACCTTGCCAACAAAGGTCCGTATTGTAAAAGCTATGGTTTTCCCAGTAGTGATGTATGGAAGTGAGAGCTGGACCATAAAGAAGGCTGATCAATGAAGAATTGATGCTTTTGAATTATGGTGCTGGAGGAGACTCTTGAGAGTCCCATGGACTGCAAGAAGATCAAACCTACCCATTCTTAAGGAAATCAGCCCTGAATGCTCCCTGAAAGGACAGATCCTGAAGCTGAGGCTCCAAGACTTTGGCCACCTCATGAGAGGAGAAGACTCCCTGGAAAAGACCCTGATGTTGGGAAAGATGGAGGGCGCAAGGAGAAGGGGATGACAGAGGACGAGATGGTGGGACAGTGTTCTCGAAGCTACCAGCATGAGTTTGACCAAATTTCTGGAGGCAGTGGAAGACAGGAGTGCCTGGCGTGCTCTGGTCCATGGGGTCACGAAGAGTCGGACATGACTAAACGACTAAACAAACTTCATAAATCCTTTGTCAAGTCCTGCATCTTTTGCGTTGAACCCCAGACTTCCCGCCCCTTCTTTACACACACACACACACACACTTTTAAAAGGGAAAAAGTTGCTTACAGGACAACTAGGCACAATCTCCCTTAATTCAGCGTCATCGAATTATCTCTAAAGTTCTAGTATTGGAGAGAGGGAGAAAAACGTCTCGTACACTCCCTCCAGAAAAACGCATTATTTTATATACCTCTGTCATGTCTCTTCTTTCTTGCCTTTTCTCTAAACCAGGGGTCGGCAAGTTTTTTCAGCAGGGGGCCAGTCCCCTGTCCCCCAGACCTTGTGGGGAGCTGGACTATTTTTTTGGGGGGGGGGGAAATGAACGAATTCCTATACCCCACAAATAACCCAGAGATGCATTTTAAATAAAAGGACACATTCTACTCATGTAAAAACACATGGATTTCCGGACCGGCCACATGCTGGATTGAGAAGGCGATTGAGCCGGATCTGGCCCCCAGGCCTTAGTTTGCCTACCCATGCTCTAAACCCAAATGATGTAAGTTTTCCTCATAGGGCAATTGTTCCATCCCTTTAGTCATTTGTTCTGTGAACCGTCCTGAGACCTCCAGGTATAGGGTGGTATATAAATTCAATTAATCATCATCATCATCATCATCATCATCATTGAAATATACTTGGAGTTGAGAGTGGATTTCATGCTCCTTATTCAGCTCATAGTGGTGAGGGGGAATGGAGGTTCCCCCAGAATGTCTGCTTTATATACATTATTTACACAATGAGTCCCACGTGATTGGCTAATTATGGGATTCTCCTGTAGGCCAATCAGGTCGCGGATTCACTTCCACTTGGAGCTGGATTGGGTGGCTCCTGTGGACCAATCAGACTGCTGCATTCTGGAGCCTATTGTTCTAGGACCAATCAGGCTGCTGCATTGTGAATCCTATTGTTCTAGGACCAATCAGACTGCTGCCTTTTGGATCCTATTCCACTCAGTACATAACAATCATCATAATCTTGGTAGCCCTTTTCTTACTATTTTCTAGCTCTAAAGATTTTTCCTTATTTGAGGTGACCAGAACTGTGCACACTATTTCAACTGTGGTCTTACCAACATATTTGTACAATGGCATTACGATATTGGAAATTTTATTTTCAATCATTTCCCTAATGATCCCTAATGATTGAATTTGCCTTTTTCACAGCTGCTAACTTCTGGGTCTGCATCGCCATTGGGCTATCCACTACAACCCCAACGTCTTGTTCCTGGTCAGTCACTGCCAGCTCAGACCTCAGGAGTGTATATGTGAAATTAGGATTATTATTTTTTGCCCTGATGTGCACCCCTTTGCACTTGCTTATATTGAATTGCCTTTGCTATTTTACTGTCTATTCACGTAGTTTGGAGATATCATTTTGGAACTCCATGCACACAATGGAAGAGTGTGCTCTTGCGGGTTGAGGTCAAACTGAATGGTTAGGTACCATGAGCAAAACTGAAAGGTTTGAGAAATTTGTGCTTGGCAGATAGAGTATTTGAAGAATAGGGTGGGATAAGGAAGAAGAGAGTTAAGAATACGGCTGGAGGTTATTGAAGAAACTCTCAGGATTATTAGAATCTCTTTCCAATGGAAGAATGGGCAGATACAAAATTTCATATTTCATTTTTTCCCCATTTCACTTTTAATTTGTACACCGCACTTCTGTATTGCTATACGCAAGGCGGTTTACAAGATGAAGAAACAACAAAATAGACAGCAAAGATCACACACCTAATAACAATCTGATCCAACACAGAAAAGTAAGAATAGAAACATAACTTTAAAATAAACAACTTACATAAAACAAAGCAATATTCAGTCATCCATTAGAATATAATAGTAAACAGTATGATTAAATATCAGAAATTATAATTAAACAGTTTATATCTAACAGTTACAAGAAATAATTAGTAAACACTAATCAATAAAAATAATGGCAAAATTTGTATAATGGCACTTCATGGGACTTATCTAATAAAGCTGAATAGTGGAAGATTCAAGGTGGTCAAAAGGAAACACAGTAAACTTGAGACTTAACACGCATTTAACTTTGTGCATTCAGTTTTACGTGCTTGGGAAAAACACTTAAAAAAAATTAAAAGGGGGCAGAATATGGGTGGGCATCCGGGGGGGAAATGACTTCGGCAACCACCGGCCACTGACCGCCAGGTGTTTAGACTATATGGCTTTTGGCACGATCCCTTGAACGTAATCCCTGCATACGTAAGTTACGGACGCCCTGTGCATTTTCACACAGCACATGGTTAAACTAGGCAATTTGCTCCCTCCAGGGGATTTGACAAATGCAGGGAAGAAAAGGCTATTGGTGGTTACTACTTGCCATTTTAAGGAACGCTAGTGGCACTGTGGGTTAAACCACAGAGCCTAGGACTTGCTGATCACGTCGGCGGTTTGAATCCCCGTGACGGGGTGAGCTCCCGTTGCTCGGTCCCTGTTCCTGCCAACCTAGCAGTTCGAAAGCACGTCAAAGTGCAAGTATATAAATAGGTACCACTCCAGCGGGAAGGTAAACGGCGTTTCCGTGTGCTGCTGTGGTTCGCCAGAAGCGGCTTAGTCATGCTGGCCACATGACCCGGAAGCTGTACGGCGGCTCCCTTGGCCAATAAAGCGAGATGAGCACCACAACCCCAGAGTCGGTCACGACTGGACCTAATGGTCAGGGGTCCCTTTACCTTTTACTTTCCATTTTGGCCATGTGCATCCTACATATAAGCTTCAGTATCAAGTAGAGGAAATAAATGTAGTAGTTGCTGCAAAACAATGTGTGAGAAATATTGCACTCGTGTCCCCCTTGTGAGCTTTCCGAGAAGGATCTGTCTGCCCCGCTGTGGGAAAGGAGATGCTGAACACTTCTGATCTCCTCCCACGGCAGGGCTCTCCTTAGGCACAGTCTGATATTGTTTCCATTAGCATTAATTAATAGGCTGGCCTCTTAAGGTGCCCTTGAGAAAACATCTCCTTGGGTCGGCTTTCCTTCCTCCTCCTCTCCCCTTGCTTATTTCTTTCTTTGCTGTGCTTGTCTAATTTTGCAACTCGCTATGTAGGACAGGGAGAGGAAGGAAATAGCTCAGTACTGCAGGGAACCGACAGATGGTGGTTTAAATTTAAGTTGAGATGCTACTGTGTGGTGTGACTTTTTCAGCGGGTTCCCTCCACCCCCGAAATTTATTCTCTTTACTTTGGAGCACTTATTTGCTCCATTGATTTATGTACACTCTTAACAGACTCTCTGACAAACCCTGGTTAGCCCTGGAAAGCGTAAGGGTATTTCTCTTCCGGGCTTCCTTCCCAGAATTGCAACTTCCTCGTGTGACCTTGGCTAGTTCAGCGAGAATATCTGGGTATTTCTTTTTACTCAGCAGTTCTGCCTCCCAGGTTGTAACTGCTGACTTGATTCACACCAAGTAAAATATTTTCTACTTCCATCAGCGCTGGAGAGATCAGGAGCGGAGCTACACTCTGTTCTTTTGGGGTCAAACAAAAATGGAAATCTCAAGAACACCCACCTGCCGTGCCACAAGGGGGTGGCCTGGGCAGAGCAGGTATAAACTGGCTTGCAGGTTCTGCTTTGCTGCTCGTGATGTTCTTGCAGAAATCATTAAGAGAGAAAATCCGGGTGAGCTAAAGGAAAATTATATGCGTATTGTTAAGGATGGAAGGGGAAGGGAGACACAAGGTACGGAGTTGAGTGAGGGCTGTAGCTCACTGTAAGGTAAAGGTAAAGGGACCCTGGACCATTAGGTCCAGTCGTGGCCGACTCTGGGGTTGCGGCGCTCATCTCGCTTTATTGGCCGAGGGAGCTGGCGTACAGCTTCCGGGTCATGTGGCCAGCATGACAAACTAGTGAACTAGAGCAGAGCACGGAAACGCCGTTTACCTTCCCGTCGGAGCAGTACCTATTTATCGACTTGCACTTTGACGTGCTTTCGAACTGCTAGGTTGGCAGGAGCAGGGACCGAGCAACAGGAGCTCACCCTGTCGCAGGGATTCGAACCGCTGACCTGATCGGCAAGCCCTAGGCTCTGTGGTTTAACCCACAGCGCCACCCGTGTTCCTTGTAGCTCACTGTAAGGAGGCAGCAATTTCTGTTCTGACCTGCATTCATCACAATCAGCGCCGTTTTCCGTTCTGCTGCAGTTTGGTTTCCATCAACAATTTTTGTTTCAACAATTAGGTGAAAAAGCAACGATCTGAGTGAAAACCAATTGTATTCGCTTATTGAATTCTCTTCCTGACCGCAGACGAACATGTGAACTGCAGCCGTTTCTGCTTCCTTTTCTCTCAGAATTCTTCAGTGGTCCTACTCACTGGTAGAGCCCACCCTTTGCATCGAGAAACTCTCAAGTTCGATCTCCTGGTAAGCGCACCTGGATGGAGGCTGCACACCTGTAATTCATCGTGGGATGCATCGAATCCAGGAGGAAGCCATTGTTTCTGTTATTATTGTGGTAGTTGATTTGTCCATCCGGCATCCTTCTAGGGCAGGGGTCAGCAAACCTTTTCAGCAGGGGGCAGGTCCACTGTCCCTCAGACCTTGTGGGGGGGCAGACTATATTTTGGAAAAATAAATAAATTAAGAATTCCTATGCCCCACAAATAACCCAGAGATGCATTTTAAATAAAAGCACACATTCTACTCCTGTAAAAACACCAGGCAGGCCCCACAAATAACCCAGAGATGCATTTTAAATAAAAGCACACATTCCTTTTTTTAAAAAAATGATATTTATTAAACTTTAACAATTACAGAAAAAAGAATATCAAACAATAAAAAGTTACAATACTTCAAAAATAAAAAATACAATAAAAAACAATACAACAAAACAATAAGAAAGAAAAAAAAACATTTAAAAACAAAAACATTTAAAAAAGAAAAAAAAACCATCCAGTATTTTCATGTCTTTATCTTTCATTTACTTGTTTCCTTAACTTCCTCACACCTCCCTTTTTTGTATTCTAATTCAATTAGTTGTTTCAGCAAGTCCTTTCCCTCTTTCTCAGATTTTGTTCCATAATTTATCTTAACGCAATTTAACCTTAGATTTTACACCTTGACCCGTTAACAATCTATTCTTACTTAATTCTTTATAACATTTCTGCTAAAGCCTAAAAGCACACATTCCGCTCATGTAAAAACACCAGGCAGGCCCCACAAATAGTGCATTTTAAATAAAAGGACACATTCTACTCATGTAAAAACACCAGGCAGGCCCCACAAATAACCCAGAGATGCATTTTAAATAAAAGGACACATTCTACTCATGTAAAAACACGCTGATTCCCAGACCGTCTGTGGGCCGGATTGAGAAGGCGATTGGGCCAGATCCGGCCCCAGGGCCTTAGGTTGCCTACCCATGTTCTAGGGTCTCAGGTAGGAGTCCTGTCCTTCACCTGCACTCTGCTCCTTTAAATGCTGAACTTGGGACCTTCTACATGCCAAGCAGGTGCCCTACCTCTGAGCTATATGGACCCTCCCTTTTGCAACCTAAGAATTTTTTGCTTTTTTTTTAAGACTTGAAAGTGCAGTCCAAGCTCTTTCTATTTATGATTCCACTGGAGGAACCTGCTGGCATGAGGAACACCCCCCCCCAACTCCTATAAGCACAGCACAGGTCTGCGGCTGGTGGGCGGGGCGAAGGAGGGCCCCCATGGGTGGGAGTCTTGCTACTGCCGCCAATCCCCGAGCCAGCGAGGAGGAGTGGCTGATGAATATGAACAGCAGCCTCTTCCTTCCCCTCCCTCTTCTCCTTTCCTCCTCCCAGTCTCTCCTGGCCATGAAGGCAGCAGCAGAGCAGCTGAGAGGAGGATGCTGAGGACCAGCCCAGAGAGCATCTTCCTGGAAGATGCTGCCTAGCTGAAAGGATGGAGGGCGCTCAGGTAAGGCAGGGATGCTACAGAGGCTGCCCTGTTTCCTGGCAACGAGGGAGAGAAGTCTAGGTCCGAGGGAGGCCGGGGGGGGGGGGATAACTTGTCTGCAGAGAGACTTCTCCCAAGTCACTTTGCCCAGTCGCAGCTAAAAGATCCCTAGACAAGGGATGCTCGCTGCCCTGGGCTTTTTGAGGGCTGGGGATGGAAGGAGGCCTTGATGGGAAGATGCACGGTCCTTGCCACTTGCAAGCCTTGCATTCCACAAGAACAGCAGCAGACCTTCTTTGTGTACTGTTTCAGCAAATGGAGGCTTGCTGCCTCTGCCTCTGCCTGCCTTTTGTTTGGGGATTTGCTTCCCCCATCCCTCCACCTCTCTCTCTCTCCACCTCTCTCTCTTTCCTCCCAAGTTTCTTGGGCACACAGATCGAATTTCCCCCTTCCGATTCATGGCTTTGATTTCATTCATTTCTCTAGCTCTCCAGACTTTGGAGCAAGAGCCTCGTTGTGGAATTCCCAAGGTTTAGACGATTGCAAGAAAGGGATAGGAAAAAAAAAAGAGAGATGAGAATTGCAAGCCTTTCTTTGAACTTTTTGTGCGTCGCAGAAATACCTCTGAAGGTTACCGTCTGCTGCTGTCCTTACAGCTCCTTTCCTTAGAAAGGAAAATAATAATAAAAATAAGTGTTTGGCATTTAATGTTCAGAACAGCCACAGGGAATTGGGTTTATTCGGAGATGGAAGCGAGCTGGTGGGGGAGGAGCGAAACTTCAGACCATTTGCCATTTGTCTGCTGTGCAGAGATGCTACACCCCACTTTAAAAATAACATAAGGCGGCACTCTGGTGCAATGATATATAACAAGAGACACATGCTGTGATCTTTGCAGACGGGGTGTTTTGGAGGAAGGGACGGTCATTTTCGTGTGTGTTTTAATTCATAAAAACCAACAGATCTGCGTCCCGGAAATTTAAGGGGCCATCTGTTTCCCCACAGAGAAATAGCCAAGTGGATTAGTGCTGTTTGCATGTATCGCTATAGCCAAATGGATCGCCAGATTTTGGAGAAGGTTGGAGGAACAGGGAGGCGAGGCCTGCAAAGCTAGCCACAGATTCACGCTTTTAAAAAAGCAAACAATTTTTTGGGGGGGCGGGGCACCTGTGCCCAACCCCAGATCTGATGCCATCAGTGCTGATGTTCTGCCTGGGGCTATGAGAGGTTTGGTGAACATAAGCTGCTAGCCATGTGTTGATCCCAGGCCCATGCAGAAAAGGAAGGTTTTTTTTAGCCCCTGGTTTGTACGCTGTGTTTGGCTTAGCTGTGCAGCCCTGAGATATAGGATTGAGGTTGAATCCTGACAAGACAGAAGTACTGTTTTGGGGGGACAGGAGGCGGGCAGGTGTGGAGGATTCCCTGGTCCTGAATGGGGTAACTGTGCCCCTGAAGGACCAGGTATGCAGCCTGGGAGTCATTTTGGACTCACAGCTGTCCATGGAGGCACAGGTCAATTCTGTATCCAGGGCAGCTGTTTACCAGCTCCATCTGGTACGCAGGATGAGACCTTCCCTGCCCGCAGACTGTCTCGCCAGTGTGGTGCATGCTCTCCCGCTTGGACTACTGCAATGCGCTCTACGTGGGGCTACCTTTGAAAGTGACCCGGAAACTACCACTAATCCAGAATGCGGCAGCTAGACTGGTGACTGGGAGTGCCCGCCGGGACCACATAACACCGGTCCTGAAAGATCTTCATTTTCTCCCAGTACGTTTCCGAGCACAATTCAAAGTGTTGGTGCTGACCTTTAAAGCCCTAAACGGCATTGGTCCAGTATACCTGAAGGAGCGTCTCCACCCCCATCATTCTGCCCAGACATTGAGGTCCAGCGCCGAGGGCCTTCTGGCGGTTCCCTCATTGCGAGAAGCCAAGTTACAGGGAACCAGGCAGAGGGCCTTCTCGGTGGTGGCACCCGCCCTGTGGAACGCCCTCCCGCCAGATGTCAAAGAGATAAACAACTACCTGACATTCAGAAGACATCTTAAGGCAGCCCTGTTCAGGGAAGTTTTTAATGTGTGACATCTTAGTGTATTTTTGGTCTTTGTGGAAGCCGCCCAGAGTGGCTGGGGAAACTCAGCCAGATGGGTGGGGTACAAATAAATATTATTATTATTATTATTATTATTATTATTATTATTATTATTATTTTCTTTTGTCTCTCTCTCTCTAAAAAGCTGAAATTACATACCCTCCAACATCTTGAGTCCCAAAACTGGGGTGCCTATCTTCCCGCTCGAGTCACATGTGGCCCGCCCAAGATCATGGAGCCCCAAAGATGCACTTTTTGGGGTTATGCTTTCAGGCGCTCCAAAACATAAGATTGCAGCCCCGAAAGAGAGCTCTTTTTCCCGGGCGAGATCTAGGCACAAAATAACACAAAATCGCAGCCACCTTGTTTTCGTGCGAGAAAGCAGGACGCCCTGGTTTTTTCCACAGCACTTGCGGGGTATGAAATTACTTTCATACTGCATACTTCTTGATCTCGCTAATTTCCTGCTTTTTCTCTAAGGTGTCCAAATTGTGGAGGTTGAGGCCATATTATCTTCTCAGCAACCCTGCGAAGCGGACTAGGCTGAACAGTAAAGCTACCTAGCAAAGTAGGCCCCATCTTCTCCATACATTTAGAGCAGTGTAACACAACTTACACTGTCTACGGCCATACTACCCTGAACATGCCCGATCTCGTCTGATCTCGGAAGCTAAGCAGGCTCAGACCTGGTTAGTACTTGGATGGGAGACCACCTGGGAATACCGGGTGCCGTAGGCTTTTGCCTCCTAAGGGACGCGGGTGGCGCTGTGGGTAAAAGCCTCAGCGCCTAGGACTTGCCGATCGAAAGGTCGGCGGTTCGAATCCCTGCGGCGGGGTGCGCTCCTGCTGCTCGGTCCCAGCGCCTGCCAACCTAGCAGTTCGAAAGCACCCCCGGGTGCAAGTAGATAAATAGGGACCGCTTACTGGCGGGAAGGTAAACGGCGTTTCCGTGTGCTGCGCTGGCTCGCCAGATGCAGCTTGTCATGCTGGCCACGTGACCCGGAAGTGTCTCCGGACAGCGCTGGCCCTCGGCCTCTTGAGTGAGATGGGCGCACAACCCTAGAGTCTGGCAAGACTGGCCCGTACGGGCAGGGGTACCTTTACCTTTTTTACCTTTAACACAACTTTAAACAGCCATGGTCCCCCCCCCAAAGAATCCTGGGAACTGTAGTTCGTTAAGGGTGCTGAGAGTTATTAGGAAATCCCTTTGTTTCCTTCACACAGCTATGATTCCCAGAGTGGCTTGCCAGGGAACTCGGGGAATTGGAGCTCTGAGAGGGCAATGAAGGGGTCTCCAAACAACCCCCGACACCCTTAATAAACTACAATTCCCAGGATTCTTTGGGGCAAGGGAAAGCCATGACTGTTTAAAGTTGCTTTTAGATGCTTAGTGCAGATGGGGCTTAATTCCCCCGATTTCACTCAGGGAAGGTTTGTGCCTGAGTGGGGACCTGAGCTGGACTCTCTTTGTTCAAACAGAACATTAATCTGAAGAGGTGAGGAACTTTTGTCAGTCTCAGGATATCACAAGTTGGTAAATACAATACAGTGCCGTGCAAGAAAAAAAAATAGTCTGGTAAGACTGCTGTCTGGAAGGATTAAAGAAAACTTGTAGTTTATTGCTCTTAGCAAAGAAAGACATTTTTATGCATAGTGAAATATACTCGGAGTCGAGAGTGGATTTCATGCTTTTTATTCAGCTCATAGTGGTGAGGAGGAATGAAAGTTCCCTGCTTTATATACATTATATACATTTTATATTATCTGCTTTATATACATTATTGACACAATGGGCTGCACGTGATTGGCTAATTCCGGGATTCTCCTGTAGGCCAATCGGGTTGTGGATTCACTTCCACCTGGAGCTGGATTGGGTGGCTCCTGCAGACCAATCAGACTGTTGCATTCTGGATCCTATTGTTCTAGGGCCAATCAGACTGCTGCATTCTGAATCCTATTGTTATAGGGCCAATCATACTGCTGCATTGTTCTAGGGCCAATCAGACTGCTGCATTCTGAATCCTATTGTTCTAGGGCCAATCATACTGCTGCATTGTTCTAGGGCCAATCAGACTGCTGCATTCTGAATCCTATTGTTCTAGGGCCAATCATACTGCTGCATTCTGGATCCTATTGTTCTAGGGCCAATCAGACTGCTGCCTTTTGGATCCTATTGTTCTAGGGCCAATCAGACTGCTGCATTTTGGATCCTATTCAACTCAGTACATAGGTTTTCACATGTGGTCAAGTCAGAGCAAAGAAGTTAACACAAACACATGCTAGCTCAGTGGTGTCCAAACTTTTTTCAAAGAGGGCCAGACTTGATGAAGTGAAGGGCCATGTGGGCCAACCAAAGTTGTTTACTTTTTTTAGGATTGAAGTTGTTGAGCTTTTTTTATGATTTTACCCCAAAGTTGTTGAGGAATAAACAGACACACGGACCAGATTACAGTGGTGCCTCGCAAGACGAAAAGAATCCGTTCCGCGATTCTCTTCGTCTAGCGGTTTTTTTGTCTTGCGAAGCAACCCTATTAGCGGCTAAGCGGATTAGCGCTATTAGCGGCTTAGCGGCTTAGCGGCTATTAAAGGCTTAGCGGCTTAGCTGCTAAAAGGCTATTAGCGGCTTAGTGGCTTAGAAAAAGGAGGGGGAAAGCGGGAAAAAAATCGCAAGACTAGCAAGACGTTCCGTCTTGCGAAGCAAGCCCATAGGGAAAATTGTCTTGCGAAGCAACTCAAAAACGGAAAACCCTTTCGTCTAGCGGGTTTTCCGTCTTGCGAGGCATTCGTCTTGCGGGGCACCACTGTATACAGACCGGCGGGCCGGATTAGGTCCCCAAAACAAACTCTGGACATGCCTGTGACACCGACTGACTTAGAGAAGAAGCAGGAGGAAGCGAAGTAAAGGAAGCGATTTGCTTCACCAACAATTAG